GCGCGCGGAGTGATAAGGCGAGCCACCTCGGCTTTTTGTTGTTTTGTGCAACCGCGCAAACACACACGCACACACGTATTATGTCTGGAATTATCATTTTTATCGCACACCACAGCGACTTGGCGTTTGTTTGACGCTCGAAAACGCTTTGCTCGGCGTCGTTTTCTTGATAACTTGTGTTTGTAGGTGGTGTGTTTGTTGCACAATCGTGATGTGGACTCGGTAGCGGATTTGCGCATTTTCTGGCAAAAAAAAAATAAGAAAAAATAATTCTTTAAATCATTTTTTTGCGCAATATTTGATACCTGTGTAAATACATATAAAAATGACATGGAAAACATTTTGAGTGCATTTTTCGCCGGTGGAAAATTTTGCGTGGAGGAAAACCTCTCGTAATATTACGTTCATTGTCATTGTGGCGCTTACTTAACAGCGCACACATTACCACGCTTTGTTTGCGATTTTCACAACAACATTCGCATAGTGCCATTACAATTACAATCTCAATTACACGAATATTGCGCGCGCGCGCGAGCTGTATTGGTTTTTATTGCACTCGGTAAAGTCTTAGACTTGTTGAGCGCTCTACGCTGTGTATACCTGTATAACAACATGCGTGTTATTAACGGAATTAACAATTTCAGTTGATGACACTCATAGAAATAAAATGCGCGCAGGTTTATTGCGGAAATGACATGCAAAGGTCATTTAATTTATGCGCAAATTATAAATCATGCGTTGATCAAGTTGAAAGTTGGTAAATATTTATTTGCTTTATTAACAGTTCAATTATGCATTGTTCCAAGACGCTGGGAGTAAATGTATTTAATGTATCATTAACGTGGGGAAATTGCGGTAATTATTGGGAAATTAATTGACTGAAAAACAGGCAGGAAATCTCCGGCGACGTGTGCTAATGAAGCGGAATAAATCGTGATGGATATCATTTATTTATTTACTGCTGACATTTGTTTGTTAGAAAGAAATTTACTTTCATATTTTCATATTTTATTTGTTTTAGTATTTTGGGGAATGAATGATTTTTCTATTTCTATTGATTAATTTGATCATTTATACCTAGATAGTTTTGTTGCTTACATCTCCTTAGTTTACCACTTTGTACGAGTATATACATAAATATATGTGGTTTGATGTTGGTTTGCTTCGGCGCATTTGTGAACCAAGTATGAGCCGGTGTTTTCAAGGCTAACGTGAACATGATGCCGCGAGTCGCGAGTTGCGAGTTTTACGACGAAAACGCGATGGGTCAGTGGTGGACTCTTCAGAATTCACAAACAACACAAAATAAAATTTAATAAAAATAATTATTCATTACTGAAGCATTGCATTGTCACTGATTTAATTTAAAAATTTAATTTTAAGTATATTTAAGGAATTAATACGATCCTGGCTATTTGTACGTCTATAGCCCATAGCTCATATAATACCTATATTGCTATTGATTCGCGTTAGCGTTGGATTTTCATATATAACTCCATCATCGTTCACCTGGAGAGGACTGGTAGTGTACTGTGTCTTGATTCGTCTTCCATTGATTGTACAAATTCATATTGCCATTGTTACTATTATTTGTTATTGTTGCTGATGGTGTGTGTCGCTGGTAGCTAGGCGCTCACTTGCCGATTATAGGAAGTGATTAGCTATTTAAAGTTTGAAGGTTGACCAATCGCCGTGCCCGCAGCAGCACACGGCACACGTCATGCAGGTTTCTTGCAATTGGCACTGGGCACATCGTCACACACGCTTTGCATTAACAATCAAAACCGCTGTGTTGGGGTTTTGTTATTTGCCGGCACGTTGGCGGGACGACTACGTTCGAGTATTAAAGTTTTAATAACATTCCAACACCAGCACCCGGAACTAAAAGCTTTTGAAGTAATTTATTTGTATTTTTTTGTGTTTTGTATTGTATTGAAACTGCAACACTTTGTATATTGTATATGTTGTTGTTGTTTAATTGTCGCGTGCTCGGCGCTAGTGAAGCCGAATTGAAATTATGTCAGCGCGCTAAATTCGTGATTCGCGCGTCAAGATTTTCAATGAATTTATGATGTGTGCGAGTCTCCAGTTTGTGCAGCCGAATAAAATTGTCGCGACGCTCGCATACACAAATCAACATCGATTATTATCGCATTGTCGTCGTCGTCGGGTCGCTGCTCACTGCGCTTTCAATTGCGCTCATTATACGCCTATTGGCCGCGTGTTTTTCTTTCGATTGTTTTGCACACACGCACACTCTGTGTTGGCTGGGTCCAAGCATCCGCATCAGCGGTGGCAAAAAATAAGATAAGCACACGTGTTTTTGCGCGCTGCGGGCCAGTGAGGGAAAACACAGCGGAATGTTTGGAAATATGGTCGAAACGTAATCCAATGTTTGGATATTGATACTGAGTCCTGTGTGTGTGTTTGAGTGTGAGTATGAGAGCTAATGCTGACGACCGAAAAAAAAAAAACGGTCGAGTTGCCGCCTGGTTTGTTGGTTCGGTTTGGTTATTTGGTTAGTATCTCCATGCTGGATTCCTCCCTCGGTGCCATCTTGTGCGCTCCGCCATATTTTCGTAACCCAATACCGGCGGACATGTGTCCCGAGTGTTGTGTAAAGTGTAAACAGTGAACAGAACATGACTGATATCTCTCGACGAGCGCAAAAAAAACCGCGCGCAACCGGCAAACGCTGATTATTCCGTAATAATAAATAAAAACGTGCATATTATGCTGCTCTGGCTATTTTTTGCTATGGTATAATTTTGACATAAATTTGTTTGTGTTTTGTTGGATATTTGGCGCTTAATTTCCGGCAACACCTAGAGCCGCGTATAATAATCGCCGGCAACGCCAAATTACACACCTGATTTCGACGTGAAATTAATGCACACGACCGTTACACATCGTTAAATGTAATCATCATTGCGAAATGCTGCGCTCCTCTCTGGCTGGCGCGCAATCAACATTGCAATTTCAGTTGCAATCTAAAACTAATCTGCACAATTGCAATGCGTTCGAGATGTGAGATGGTTTAATTTAGAAACAGGTTACGGCCGGCGCAAAAAAATTGCATTGTTTCCATGATTAATCGCATCTTAAAAATTTTTTAACAAAAATTCAACGCGTATTACTTTCTATTATTACCTTGTCGGTTATTTTTTAGTTTTTGCCTGTGACATGCGGCGTGTGATGAATGAAGTCAACAACTTAGTCTTGCGCATAATATTTCAATAAACGACATTAAAACATTAACAAAATACCTGTGCGCGCGCTGCGCACGCATCGCATTATAATATCAGTTGTGCGCGCTTTGTGCAAACTCGGGAGGCAAAAGCAAACAAGAATCGCATAAGTATAAATAAACAAGTGCAATAAACACAAACATTCGTAATGCAATCATAATAAATATAAATAATGAGCGTTGGCAAGCCACGCTAGTCGGTCCATAGGCATATGTAAAAGATAAGCGATCGTAAATTGCGCCGTTCGAAGAATTTCCATTCACCGCGTAAGAATCGAAACAATATTGCATATTGTGTGGTCACATGTATGTGCACTTGTCATTTGTTTTTAACATTATTAATTACGCACTTTTTCTTTCAATATTAACCCGTCATTGTGACATTTTGATAACTTGGAGTCTGAGTAGAGGCACAAGAGCACAAGATTAAAACTTTAGTTTTTTGCTAATTGCAGCAAATCTATAGCTACTACAATATTGTAATTTTGTGGGTAATATCTCTTGAATATTTGCTCCCAATTGAGATTTAAATCAATTTTCTATGTTTTCACATAACTGAGTTAGAAGCATTTAAAATTTGACCAATTTTAAGGCGCATTTTAATGATTTTTCTTGCAATAACGATTTTTTCGACTTTATTTGGATCATTCATCAGTGGATCTTTTTTGAAATTAAGTTTATTAGTTGCCTAATATATTATGGAAATTTGGAGCACTATAAATAGAAAATAACACCAACAAATTAGTAACAATTAATCCATGCTACTTAAGTATTGCGCCACGCGGGCGTCGCTTAATTATTTGAAATATTACTAGCTGAACTTTGTCTAACTGAGTGTTTGTGAAAAGTTCAATAGAATGGTATCACTTAATGATAGTCTCGCGATCCGCGCGCAAGAAGCACGCGAGTAATGCGCATTGTGACATTCTCGGTAGCGAAATTTGTTAAACGTTCACTCGACGATCATGATCATCATAATGATCTGTGTCTGTCGTCTTTCTGTGTGTGTTTATCCACTCGCCCAAACGAGTGAGCGTAAAAGGCGAGAATTAACGTGTGCCCAAGATTCAAGTCGCACGAATGTCCAACCATCATTCCAATGCACAACAGCAGCAGCCAACTGATGAGTCTCTTTTTTTGTGAGTGTGTGTGTGTGTATGTGTGCTGCGCCACTAATGACTCGTACAATTAACCAACTCGCATCGCTCCATTGTGCGCGCCTCTCTGCTGTGGATGCTGCTGGGTGACTTTTTGTCATTTTTGTCGCTCTCCCGCCGAGAATGGAGAATGGAGCGGCGAGCAAAAAGTCCAACGGCGAAAACACATCGCACATAAGTCATGCATGCGTACCATCCAGAAGCAGAGCCTAATAATACTAATTATAAGTCGCGCACATGTGACGATGTCAACGAGATCTCTCATATGAATAATATTTGTGCGTATCTTTTTTTGGGATGGATGAATTCAATTGGGAAAAAATTGGAATGTTTTCCACATTTTGTGCAAGTGCATTATCCATTATGATGATCATGATGATTCATTCAGTTAGCCAGAGTGTCGAGTTGAAGTCGAACATGTGTTGCTAATGACTTTGTCTCGCTTTTTATCTTGTTGCGCGCTCGAACAATTTGATGTTAAATTATAAGATTTTAAATTACCGTCTATTACACGCTCATCTCGAGAGGAGATGTACTCAAAAACGTGCGACGTGGTTCTTGGAGAGGTGTAGAAAGTAAAAGAAACCCAAGCGATTGAACTTTAAGCAACACTTTATTATAAATCTATAATTAACGATTGGAGGAGCGTGAAAAGAAAATGTTGACGGTATTCCTAGAAATTAAACTTTCTGTCGGGGAAATTTATTTTTATTAAAATTGTGTTGTGTGTTTGCTGAGAAAACAAAAGCAAAAGTTGAGAGCGAAAAAAAGGTAAGACTTTAAGAGTAATTTAGGTTATCGAAATCGAAATCGTCGAAACGCGCAGATATAAACAACGCTCGACATCGTTCCGAAGAGAGGATGAGAGCACAAAGTAAAAACGGCGAGAAGTTAACAGTTACGTAACCTTGTTATTATATTTTAGTAGCGATTCATGCGGATTCGCCATGATGTGAGTCGCGCGCGAGCGCGCATTTGTTGTTGGTTGTGTTTTGTTTGGTGCTTTCAATGAAGAAGAAGAAGGCGCGAGTTTATTCCGTATTCCGTATTGTTTTATGCTCGCGTCGCTGTTCTTCCTTTATTTCGCGATTCCGCTTCTCATTCGCCTTCTTTTTTGTGTTTCGCTTTTAATTTCTCGATTTCTTCCTTTGTTTTCGATTTCTTTGGCGAAGGCACGGCGCGATCTTCGTTTTCATTGTGTTTGGCTGGCTGCGTGACTTTTTGGCGAAATAATGAATTTGGTCGTTGCTCTAGTTTTTCAAGTCGTGCGCTCGTCGTGAACGTACTTGAACTTTTTGCGTTTGGTGGTTTTCTCTTTTCGCGCGTGCTTTTCTCATATTCTTTGCTCGGTTTCGCTTTTCAATGCGGAGCACAATGGAAAAAATTATCTGATGACGTCGTGGCTTTGACTCTTCTTTCGCGCACACTCACGCATTGTGTTTTGTTTCGTTTTCGCGTTGTGTTTCTTTTGCGTGCGCGATTCTCGTTTCTGGTTTTGCCTTGTTGGTTCTGTTGCTTTTCTGCGGGCACGAGTCGCCGAGTTACCTAGTCGCCTCTTCGCCTACCTACCTACCTACCTGGAAATAACAACAACAACAAAGTGAGGAACGGGTCATCGCAATTCCTGCATGCACAAATGTTTTAGTTTTATAGTTCAAAGAATAATTTACTTTCAAACGGCGCTTGAGTGTATACTCGTATGTTTAAGTTTGCCCCTTTAAATGAATGAGCGATTTGAATATTGAAAAATGATTATTACCCATTTGTCGGGACGGACGCGCGGCGCACAAAATGGAAATAAATGGAAATTTATGTGTCGTCCATTATCTATATGGCGTTTTCCTTCCATGCGCCGTGACTCACGCCAGCGGACTGCATAACATAAATAACGCACAATAGAATAATTCATGACAAAATGTAAAACGCAGTTGGGGCAAAAAATGTTAATAATAATGTGAAAAATTAACGCATTGTTATGTTGTGATAATTGCGCATGCGCAAGTTTGAAATTGTGACCTGCGCGCAGCCAATATAGGCGGAGCTCTTAGTAAATGTCAAGCACAAACTAAGTGTAGTTAAGTATTGTTAAGTATTCAATAATTTGAATTCTTGCGACAATTTGCACATGGCTTCGAAGAAGCACCTCTAAAATCGATGTTTGCGTTGTCGAGAAAAACTAATACGCTGGATTCGAGCGAGAGCTCGCGCTCGCACCGCCTGAACACTGACAAATTTACATATTTGATTAACATTAGTTAACTTTTAGCACTTTCGGTCGTCACACATTGGCGTGTGACGTAAACGATGAAGCAAAGTCATGAATGTAGTCGAATGACCATGCGCTGAGTAGTTTAATCTTGTTTAAACATTACGTAAATATCCATGTGTGAAAAAAAACTTTTGCTGCAATTTTATTCTGTTTTTTTTTTTCGGCCTGGGCGAAAATTAACTTTCAGCTATGTGTTTGGTGTGTGTTTTGAAACGTTATGCAAAAGTTACTGTAAAGTGCGAAATTGTAGTTTCAAAATGCATCGACTGGCGAATGTATGACTCGCGTCTCGCCGCCGACTGCCCACACTTGTTCTAACTGTTTACAAGTTGTAAAGATTGCGGAGCGACGAAGAAACCGCATGCATAATGTGTAAGATTTACGTCGATTTAGCTGCAAAACTGACATACATGCATTTCCCGACTGACAACTAGGCGCGGACTCGAAATATAAATGCAGATCAATTAGTTACATTCAACTGGAGACTTTTTTCAGCTGGAGCATGCGCAGTACAACTGTGGGCGGAGCAAAAGTAACATTTTTATGCGAAAAACTTTGTTTTATCAGGCGAAAAAAACGCTAAGGACATTTTACAGCGAATAATTACAGTTGGCGTGCTTTTGCCATTCATTAGATAAGAAAGAAGGTATGCTAATTAATGGAGGCATATTTCTGCGCCGCGCGCCGTCAATTAAATTTGCGTCATGTCATTAGTAGGGAACGAGTCATTTCGCAATAATGCGATTTTTTAAAATTTGATTTTGCTTTATTTCACATTCACATTTATCGCGTTTGGTAGCAGTCGTATTTTAGGAACCTTTCTGTTCCAAGCGATAACGCGCGCGTAATTCGAGTTAATTTAAATGCAGCAATATTAGCAATGCTCGATATTGATAAGGAAATAATTGATTGAGAAAGTCGTAGTTTGTACTCGAGACGAGGAACTTTGTTGAGCGCGTTCGCCGCTCAGTGCACACAATTGGCATGATAATCGATATGAATTAAAAAGGTTGCTCAATCGGTCAATTATAAATTGTATTGCGCTAATTAAAGATGCGCGCCGGCTTAATGAAGATGCGAGACAAACACAGACAACGCGTCGTTTTGTGTGATCGAGATTGCTTTCGGTTTCATTTGCGACTACACCATTATAACCAGCGTGTTTGTTTGTTGCGTGCGCGAGTGTGTTTTTTTTTCTGTTTCGGGCTCTCGGATGGTTAAAGTTTAATTGGATGAGTTCAAGCAAGTCTAGTGTGATAATTTTAATGGTTGCGTTAAGTCGTGTACTAGATATCATTTATTTATGACTTGTGGTCTGATAAGGCACAAATCTCTACGGATGAGCTGCTGCGCAAACTCCACTGTCTTTATTTTATTTTTTGACTTACAAAGTGACGAACGCATGCGCAGTAATTTTATGGGCGGAGCATAAAACTTAATTTGTTGTTAAATTGTTTATTTCCGCATATCTGAAAGTAATCCTCTCGTAATACAACATAAATTGCTCGGATGCTGGCGCACTTTAATCGGTCTTTAATAACGACCGGACCGCAAGAAAGAAAGAAAGTGAATTTCGATGTCAATTCCACGCGGCCAACAAGCGGTAAACACACCATCACATTATTATTACTTCCATGCCCGCGCACGCTGTCCAAGCATGACTCTTGCTGAGTATGTGTGTGTGTGACTCGTGAAATTTTCATTTTCGCTATTTATTATAATGGCCGTGTAATTTCGTTTTGTGAGCGCGTATTATTATGATGTACGCGTTACGAAACACCGCGAGCGTCATACGCGTAGGTAATGGTCAGAAAGTTGTGCGTGTCGAACCATCGAAATCGCACACACAACATACACTCACACACGCACGCACCAGAAACTCCAAAGTCTTTAGCGGCGGAATTATCAAATTTGTTGCTTTTTGCACTCGCGATCAATTTCACTTTCAAATTGGACACGAAGAGAGTTTAAAGTTCGTTAAAATATCATTACAGTGCGCAATCACTGCGCCAATTTGTCTCGCGCGTCTGTGTTGCGATGTTACGACATATTGCGCGCAGACAATTAATTACCGAAATATTTATTTATGCTGGTATATTATTAATACAGTAATATAATCTAATTAATTACTCAACTTTGTGTGTGTGTATCGCGCGCAAATTGGCGAATTCTACGTATTTATTCCTTTAATATGTATTTTCATAATAAAATACTTTCTTTTGTTTATTCAGCGAGCGGTAATTAAATTCGCCGACGTGAATATACATTTTATATCATTGTAACTCAGTTAAAAACAAATGTTTACCGTAATAAAGTGTGTAGCGAGCGCAATTTGATATTTAATCAATTTATTAACACGGTTTATTAATATATTGCTGTCGTGGTAGTAAATTTATATTTGACATTGAATTTTTCCATTTGCGTGATTTGCATTTCCGGTGGTATAAAATAAAAACTCTTTTTTCTTTTGCTTTTGCTTTGCTAAAAACGCAGTAGTCTTTTTTTAAGTGATAAAATTGGGTTGGCTATGAAGCAGTCACTATGTTGATCCAGTTGTCAATTTTTGTGAAAGAACAAGTTGTCAAATTTTCGTGTGAAGCAAATTTTCAGTGTACAAACTAGCCTCCCAGTTTAGTTGTAGAGATTAGTGATTTTCTAAATGATGATATTGCTCGACTTGGTCGCCGATCATTGTCGCTCATGATAAACTTGTGATGAACGATTGTAAATAAGCAGCAGCTAAATGCGGCGCTGATATACCATTGACGAGTGTCTGGAGTACCGTTTGGGGAACTTCCGGAGCAATCATGGTGTCGTACGTGATGCTTGGCCCTTCAATTGTAAGTTTTATTGCATTAGCATCGCGTATTGCTGCATACAGACATAAATTACGTTGGTTGTGTTATTTTTCTTCTTCTCCCCTTTAAAATGTGTGTGGAAATGTTTGTTGATCTAGAGGGGCATCATTTGAGAGCGGATGTGCGCCGATTTCTGCGCAATCCTTGACAATGGTGCGCAAACAAATTGATAAGTCGATAAGACCAACGTGTGCGCGCGCGCGATGGACTTAAGAGCCGGGCGCGGTGCACAATCGTGTTCAGTGTTTCGGCGCGTATTCCAGCCATCATCGCAACGTGCAAAACGTGCGCCGACGACGTTTTCTCACCGGCGGCGTGTCTCTTGTGCAACGTGTGGTATTTTAAATTTTTACTTCTCTCAAGTTTCGCTTCCAGAGAATTGGCTTGATTTGAATTTTGTTTTAATTTTTATATTTAACTGCTTCCCGAGTGTCGCCAGCTGCGTAATATTTGTTTATTTATTTAATTTAGGCTCTAAATGTGAGTGTAGTTGATTTTAAAATAAGAAAACGCGATTAAATTTAAACTAAGCGGTGCGTGTGAGACGCACAACTTCAAATTGAATTTACACACGTGCGCGTAAAAAGATGGACGCAAAGATGGAGTCTGCCTCCTCCTCGTCCTCTGCGGCGTTGTATATGAATTTCATGATGAAATTGCCGGCCATGCCGGACGTTACACAGCTGGATATCTTGCGTTCGCTGATTGCGCAAACCACCGACGACAATCGCCAGTTTTCCGACGTGTCGTCCAACAATCAGGCGAATGAAAATGAGGTGACTATCGAGGAGATTCAGGAGAGTCACGCAGCCACCTCGGATGGTTCCGTACACGAGGTAGGTGATGATTAAAAACAATCGAAATATTTAATAATAAGCAGGATTCACTTTCATTCGATGTTTTTGTTTGATTTCTTGGTATTACACGACGTAAACATCTAGATTCCCATGGTTTTCCGTCATTTCCGTGCCTCCTTGGAACTTGTTTGCTATCTTTTGTTCTAAAACATATACAAAACTATGACGTGATTTAGAATTTATCATTGACTAGGTCGTGTTTGTTTTACTTCAGTCAAACAATCGAAAAAAATTGTACATGAAAAAATGTGTACTTCCCGATGATTTTCTGCTTCTTTTCATTCATCAGTTATAAATAATTCGCCTTGTTTTGGCGATGTTGGTGTGACGTGAACTTGGCGGTTTTTTTTTTTCTGCGCCTGCTTTGTTTTTTCGTTGTTTGTCCAGGCGAGCCGCGCACGCTTGGCGCTCCAATGACGTCGCGAGTTCTCGAACGCGCTTGGAGCGTTTCGCATCTTTTTCGTTGCGCGTCGCGCCGGCGCGATTGTAGTGGGGCGGCTTGGTAAAGCGCGCGTCGTTGCTGCGTCGTGCGAGTGAGTAGCCAGCACAGAGCGAGTCGAAACGTCAGTGTGCGAAAGATCGCGTTGGCATAAAGACGTGCGGCAATATTGAGTTGCTCAGCAAGCGGTGAAAACGCGACAACGTTGAAAAAGGCGCAATTTTGTTTGAAACATTCAAACACAACACGCACGCAGTCGAGTTTTCACTGGTGAACACACACACACACACACGTGGTTGGAATATTGTTTTTGTAATAAATATTGAAAATAATTTGCGGTTTTGCGAGTGCACCCTTAGTGTGAATATTTATTATTTGTTGTTGGTTGGATTGTGTGCATCTTTAAATGTTGTTCGCGCGCTGACACGTCTCAACGACGCTGAAGAGCTGCTTGCTACGCGTGTTTGTGCGTAGTTTTAAAGACGCGAAAACTGCATAACAAGAGTTGGTCGGGTTCGTGCGAATCGAATTCGACTTGACCAGCAAACGCCCGCGAACTGATTGGCGACGCCGAAATAAGGATTACATTATCATGTCGACTGCGGTGATGCCACAGAACGGGATGTACGACTTTGGCGATATCATTTTAAAGGTAAACTTTCCATTACATTTTGGTTGTGTGTTGACAAGACAGTCAAGTCAGACGGTGGGTCTTGACTTTTGAACGGCGACGACGACGACGACGAAGTTGCGTTGAGATTTAGTTTTGGTGCGCCGCTTGCGCGCTCGAGTTTCTGAAGCTCTTGAATTGGAAGCTACAAAGTCCACTCGAAAGTGAATCAAATCACAAAACGAGCAACACGTCGACGTCGTTTGCGTTCGCTCTCTCGATTGTTGCGAGCATGGTTTGCTCGTCAGCGGCGCTGATTTTCCTGTTGGTAATGTTTCCGAGACAATACACATGCCACAAGTGGTAAATCTGTTTGTGGCAGTAATCAATACAGAGCGATAGCGTTAGTATAATGTCTTCCAAAAGAGGAAAAAACCGACATTATTATCATCATTACGAATTGATAGTTCTATTTTTAATTGCATGAGGAAATATTCCATTGATTGACCGTTTATTTTTGCGTTGTTCTAATGTTTTGATGGTTTCTCTGTCTTTTTCACTTTAACTTTTTCTACACTTGCTGTGATTGTTTTTTTTTTTCGTCTTCTCGTAACGAAGATGAAGGTGGATATTTTGGCTGCACCTTTTTTGCCTATGTTTTTTCCTCGCCGCTCCTACCACTTGTTAGTTCTTGGATTGCTCTAAGGGTTTGAGGCTCGCAGGTAGTTGGTGTCTCTCCCTTTTCTCGGATGTTCCATCATGCATGCTTATGCTAGGCTGCTCTCTAGCATTGTGTGGTGCGTCCGTGTTTTTTTTTTTTGCTTAGTTTCTTTGGTCCGGGCGTACGGTTTCCAACTACCTGTTGCGTGGTGTGTCCAGGTAGTGTGTAGTGGCGGAGAAGAGAGGCTGGTGGCAAAAGGGACGGCCCGATCGGCTCGTGTTTGGTGCGTGTGTGTGGATGGATGGCGTGCGTTGCGCTGTGGGTTAGTACATTTTCAATTCAAGGCCTGCAGAACCGGCTCCCAGCCGTCCGCCGTGGTTGTTGTTGTTTGGTGTGCCAGCAGTAAAAACTGATGATGTGTGTGTGTGCGCTGTATCTCTACATTGGCGTCTTTGCCCAACCATCGCCTGGGACCAATAAATGTTTGGGGTTTTCTGCCCCATTTTTTCTCAAATTTGAAATTTTTGATTTTGGTCACGCACGGAAATGTACCCGGACGAAGAGGACGGTAAAAAGTAAAAACGCTCAAGTACTTTCTGGTAGGCGCACGCACAAGGTGATGAAGTGAACAAACTTTCGAAAATCGAAACCTCCAACAATTCCACTCATCTGTAGAGCTGTTTGTGAGTTTCTTGACTGCAGTTTTTGTCGATTGGAGTTTTTATTCGCAAATTATGTTTTGCGTCACTACGGCTGCCGCTTTTTTTTTGCGCTGCGGTTTGAGTGCAACCGTTTGATCGCAATAGATTGATCGTTTCATTAGAGCGTGCCGACGCGATCGGATGTGTCGGTGTGTGGAAGAGTGATCCCGGTCTGAAATCGAGTCTTTCTCTTGGCGAGAAAAGAGAAATGCGCGGCGTCGCCATCGTCTTGGGCCCGCGCCGAGAGAGAGAGACTCCCACTAGATCTTACTTAGCTTTCACATCGACAGCCACGCAGCGTCCGCAACGCGCATCCAGTCTAGTAAGCGTAGTGTGTGTGTGGTTGTCACTGCGTGAAAGTAGGATTGTAGAACGAACTTTTACCAATTGTTAACAGGGAGATGAAAGTGTAGTGCGCGCGCGCGCCAGCGCCACTGTGTGCACTGGGATGCTATTCTCTTCCGCCGCGCGTTATCAAGATTTACATATCGCGAGCAGAGAAAACATCGCCAGCCAATTCCGGCTCTGCGAGCGCCGGCGCGAAATTTGTCGAGTTTGATGAATGTTTGATGCTGATTGTTGAATTTTTTTTGTTGCAGAATTACGGAATCCCGGAAACGGCCCCAGGCGCACATCTGCGCTGCACGTTGACACGTATGGCGTCGTCGCCGGCACAGCCGACCAATGCCGCCACGCTTGTCTCGTCGCTGCTGGGCAACCTCTCGCAGCAGCATCGGCGCCTTGAGCGCACGCAGTCGGCGCCGGCGCCAGCGTCCGCCTTGCCGGCGAGCGCCGCCTCCGCTGTCAACACCTCCCGCTACAAGACGGAGTTGTGCCGGCCATACGAAGAGTTTGGCGTGTGCAAGTACGGCGACAAGTGTCAGTTCGCGCACGGCATGAATGAGCTGCGCAATCTCGCTCGCCACCCCAAGTACAAGACGGAGCTGTGCCGCACCTATCACACGGTCGGCTTCTGCCCGTATGGCCCGCGCTGCCACTTTGTACACAACCAGGAGGAGGTGATGCAGCAGAATACGCGCGCGCCGAGTGCCGCCTCGATGATGGCGAGCTCGCGCGCCACCCCCATGCAAATGTCACGAGGCGGCGCACGACCTGCTGCCCTCTCGCCGGCGCTCTCCATCGACTCGGCGTCGGCGTCCAGCCCGCCGTGCAGCCTCAGCCAGTCGCCCACCTCTTCGATGGGCTCGTTCTTTAGCAGCGAGCCGGAGCTTCACTCGCCCGGCATCGAGGAGCAGCGTCTGCCCGTTTTCAATATGTTGGCGGGCCCCGGCCCCCAGCTGCTCACGCACGCCGATCTCTTGTAGTGCCCTCTGCGCGCGCTCCTCGTTATTTATATTATGTTATTTGCGAAATCGCCGAGACGCATCACGCGTTAATCAAGACATAAGTTTTTAAAACCTTTACCAGCAACCGGGCTGCTTAGATCAGCGATCAGGAAGGAGGAAATCTGCGTTAAAAATTGAAACCAACACGAACTTAAACAATCGAAAAACCACTCAAGACAATTTACTGATTATTTAATTTTGCAAGTCCGCAGTGTTTATTTATGTTATATATTACTATTCTGCTCACGTGCAGAGTGATTTTCATAATGTGTGATTTTTAATATATTATTATTATTAGTAATTGAATATTATATCATAATATATTATATATTATTATAAAAATCTATTTACGAAAAGAGACAGACAAGAAAAATGCTGCAATCGGCGATACACTATGCGGAGAGCGAGCATTCAACAAGAAGTTACTAATAGATGTTTAGTTTTCGCCAACTTCCAATTTTGATTTTTAACTCTTAGGGCTCACGTAAGGACGCAACGCCAACATTATTTCTATATATCTATAACGAACGAACATTTCTTGCTGTTTGCTGAATGTAACTGAAAAGAAACCAAGAAATTGTACATATCATTCGGTGATAATAACGCAAACGCAAATTGATGAATGTTGAAACGTAACGTAGTATGCGATGAATGTGCAAGTTAGGTTTAATTATTTAAGGCGTGTCTCATCGGTCCGCAGTGGCAATGTCTCGATATTCGTTTCGTTTGGTTTTACAATATGGTGAAAACTTGAAATATGCAATCATGTAGTATGTGTATCAACTGATTGAGGAACGATCCGGTCAGGCCGATCTTTCTTTCGTTGATTGTTCGTAATGTATCATAGAGAAACACATTCCGCGCTCGCGTTTTGCATTCATGTTTTATTTAATTTAATTTATTCGCTTTTCTCGCTTCTCTTACTTTTTTACGCACATAAACACATACACACACACGCTGGCGCGCAGTTGTGTTTGCTCGCACAGCCGGCCCATTGTGGGGGACGCTTTCGAAACAAACACATGCGCGCGCCCAGACAGCACTTTTGTACGTTTAATATATTTATTATTATTTATTTGCTTCTATTCTGCATACTCTGCGAGACGACGACGACGACACAGAACAGCATTTTATTAATTGTTCAAGAGAGACGCATTTTACCGATATGTTTATACGTTGTGTACTACCACTAGAGAGCAAAACTCGGCGAAACCTTAAGTTATTATTAATCGTGTAATTATTTAATTTAATTTTGGCGGAACATGTTGAGTTTTTCGGTCCGTGATGTGCCTTCTTCTATTGATTGAGTTAACGAATGATAACGTTGGCCCCCCGCCGTCCTCACGAATGTCTTTTTAAGCGCTGTGTGGAGGTGACCGATGAGGGATGATGTGGATGATGATGGTAATGACGGGCGAAGAATGCGATTTTAATTTTGTTTATCTCTTACTTTCCCTATTTGCAATTAATTTAAAAACGATGCAAACGTGCAAGGTTTCTCTTTTGTTAGTTAAATCATTATTTAATTTTTTTTGTGTTTTTGTGCTTACTTTTTTACTACACTCAGAAATGTTTCCCGCAAACAAGTGAAAATATAAATATGGAAGAGAGAAACACGCAGCGTGTTTATGTTATGTAGTTATTATTATTTTTTATTTGTAATATTTATATTATTTGTAACTTATTATTTATATTAATATTTACTACGATTTACTATACTACTGCAATATTATCTCTGTAGGTGACCAAATGTGCGCAGCACATATTTGAATAAAGAGCGAAAATCTTAACTATAGCTGCAAAACTAAAAAAGAACGCGCGCGCCCTCACACTTGTCACGCCGTTCGCTGTCTTCAAACCGGTGCGATCATTGGAAAAACGAAAAGATAAAGCAAGAAACCCTTAATAAATGCCTTGTATATTTATATTTTTGTAGCTATAGGATGAAAAAAATTGTATCTTTAATTCTTTATATCGTAAAATTATATTTGTTCTTAAAAAAAAACACCACTCGAAGTCGTCAATCATTCGGCTTTTTTCCTGCACGCATAAAATACGTACATTGTCCGCTGATTGGATTTTCTCGTGCGCGTTTCGTCATTGATATCATGATTATGCGATTATTTATTTAATTCCAATTTCCTTGGCCGCTCGATTAACAACTTCTTGCGTTCTAACGCGATTTCTTGAGGCCTCGCGCGAGTAGGCTTTTTTTTTTGTCACGGATGGATGCGCAGGACCTCGGCACACTCTTGCCGCACTGCGCCTAGAACATTACCTGTCCATTCTTGAGCATTCGGCGGCGCGTCCGATTATGCGCCCAGGTAGATTTACGTGTGTTACATAATCAAAATGTAAATAATCTGAGCGTTGTTTGAGAGATGCCAGCCGCGCGATAAGCGCGTAAAAAGTGAAAAAAGGGCCCGCGGCTTCGATCCGCTCTGTTTACGGCGCTAATTTCCATCAGCAGCAATGATTTCAATGCTGTTCCGATTGCTGATTGTTATCCGGGAATGTTATAATTAAAAATTAAAGCGTTTTGTTGACTTGGATAATATATTTGGTGATTTATGTGAACTTTGAAAGAGTTTAGCGCGCGTTAAAGTTGCTAGGTCGCTAAAATGTGACATACGTAATGCGTTACCTTGAAACGTCGCGTAATTTGTGTTTACTAGACAAAATAGTCATTATCAGTGAGCAAACTCGGTGCACTTTAATTATATTACGCCGTTCGCCAGCAATGTACTCTGTTATCTGCGTTGTGATTATGTTTAACATTTCATTACGATATAAAAAAACTATTTGCCTTTATTGTGTATCATAATGGGCTATATTAATTTAAAGGGTACAAATATTCGAAACAGTTTACGAAATGTGAGTTGTGCGAGAGTTTTGTCCAATGTTAAGTTTATATTAGTACTGCTTTTTATTTCTCCTGACGGTACTTTGATGTCGGTAAAGAAAAGATAGAAACCTGTAACTGCTATAGCGCCGCTATGTTATAGCGTAACATAACCTCCACATTTATTCTGTCTGCCGTCAGTCGCGAAAACACAAGTCATTGAAGATGGAAACCATGGAAGTTGTTATTCCTGAGAAAGTAAGCATTTTTATATGTTATCCTTCTTTATAAACAATATACTAGCAAGAATTGAAGTGTTCAGAAATATATTTATTTGACTGGTTGGGTTGATTGTTACTAATGCCATAATTTGGTTGACACAAATGGATGAATTGCAGGATGAAGGCAGCCCGGCTGAGACAAAGCAGATTCTTCAAGACACTGACACTGAAGATCTCTACACAAAGTATAAGAAACTCCAGCAGATGTTGGAATTTCTTGAAGTACAAGAGGAGTACATCAAAGATGAGCAGCGAAATCTCAAGAAAGAATATCTGCATGCACAGGAAGAGGTCAAGAGGATCCAATCAGTGCCACTGGTTATTGGGCAGTTCCTTGAAGCTGTAGATCAGAATACTGGCATTGTAGGCTCTACAACTGGATCTAATTACTATGTGAGAATTCTTTCCACTATTGACAGGGAACTCCTGAAACCATCTGCCAGTGTTGCACTGCATAAACACAGCAATGCTTTAGTTGATGTGCTGCCTCCAGAGGCAGACTCCTCCATTAGCATGCTGCAAGCTGATGAAAAGCCTGATGTGAGTTATGCTGATATTGGTGGCATGGATATGCAGAAACAAGAAATTCGTGAAGCAGTTGAGTTGCCACTCACGCACTTTGAGCTCTACAAGCAGATTGGTATTGACCCACCTAGAGGTGTATTGATGTATGGTCCACCAGGATGTGGCAAAACCATGCTTGCAAAGGCGGTTGCACATCATACAACGGGTATAAATTATTTAAACAGATTGTTTTAATTGTGTTTTAATTTAATTTCAATTTACAGCTGCGTTTATTCGCGTTGTTGGTTCCGAGTTTGTTCAAAAGTATTTGGGCGAAGGACCGCGCATGGTGCGTGACGTGTTTCGTCTCGCGAAGGAGAACTCTCCAGCTATCATTTTTATTGATGAGATTGACGCTATTGCTACGAAGCGTTTTGATGCGCAGACCGGTGCCGATAGGGAGGTGCAACGTATTCTTCTTGAGTTGCTTAACCAGATGGACGGTTTTGACCAAACGACGAATGTGAAAGTCATCATGGCGACAAATCGTGCCGACACTCTTGATCCTGCACTTTTACGTCCAGGTCGTTTGGACAGGAAAATTGAGTTTCCGCTTCCTGATCGGCGCCAAAAGCGTTTAATTTTCAGCACTATTACTTCAAGAATGAATCTATCGGAGGAGGTAAGTTGAAATTGATATGATTGTTTCTGATTTAATTGGGAAATGGCATTTTGTTCAGGTTGACTTGGAAGACTTTGTCGCTCGACCCGATCGAATTTCGGGCGCAGATATCAACGCTATTTGTCAGGAAGCAGGCATGCACGCCGTGCGTGAAAATCGTTACATTGTCTTGCCCAAGGACTTTGAGAAGGGTTACAAGAACAACATCAAGAAGGATGAGAGCGAACATGAGTTCTATAAATAATTTCATTTGCTTACTTTAACATAGGGATAAGCTCAGTAAACCTAAATATTTGTAATAAGTTAAAAGCGATTCGACAGTAAATTCAAACTTATAAATAAGAGTTTATCAACATTGTCAGCGACGAGCGATTCCTTGCGACAAATTGCCGTGACTTGCACCTCCTCTATTCTACCTGCTCGCCAGTGCTGCAGACTTGCACGCGTTTCAGTCTCGTTGCGCTGTTGTTTCGTCGTGGTGTTGCTAGTAGATTACTTACCTCTCGCGTCGCCACATTTTTTACTTTAATTTCATAAATAGTATTAATTTGATCAACTGTTGACGGAATTTTGTGTTCATTGGGGTACATCGTGTTTTCGTAAGATTTTTGGTCTTATTCATTGTTGTTCTGACCCAGTCTACCGTTTATCTCGCGTTTCTTGCGTTTAAAATTCAGTAAATCGACTTGTATTTAATTTAAAATTGAGTTACTTTCTAGTAATTGGCCTGTTCAGCGTTGTGGTAAGCATTACATGTGTGCTATATTATATCACATTAATATTTAGTTTATACTAGCTGTTGCCCGCGACTTCGTTCCGGCAGTGTTTAATAAAAATGTAATTGGTTTTTACTCTCTTGTTCTAGACATAGTCGTAGTAAGAGTCAAATCTATCAATAAGATTAGCAATTTTAATTTAAAGAAATTAATTATATAAAGTTTTGTCAATAATGCACTTCAGCGCGCTATCTCGAATTCAACTATTTAACTATAACTATGATTGAATCTCAATGTCAAATTTTATTCTATAGAAAAGAGCTGTTTTGAGGATTTTCCCGGCAATTATTCGAATTTTTCCCACCTTTTATACCTTCCCTAGACCTCCACGAATAATTCAAGACCAAAATAAGATAAATCCGTTCAGCCGTTCTCGAGTTTTAGCGAGACTAACGAACAGCAATTCATTTTTATATATATATAGATTTTCGAGCGAATACACTATTTCTAGTTTGATTTCGCAGAATGTTTCCGTAAAAAAAGTAATTTTCCCACATTCTGAAGGTTCAATGAAAAATGAAAAGTTCCGAAATACTTCATACCAAGAACGATTCCATAACTGCAATCAATTAAAAGTGTAAGTGATGTAGTTTTATACCTTCTCTACGCGCAGGGACTGGAAACTGACGATTGGTGTTTTAATACTGTGTTTTTAGATTCAATTTCTTAACGTAATGATATAAGGGCCAGGAATCAGCTTCAACATCTATACGATTTGCCAGAATTGTGAACACTCACTGAAGAATGAAGCTAACCAGTACGAATTAAGAACCCGCACAATTTTTGTCTCGAATGTTTATTTTCATATTTAATGCGGATAGAAATCGGCGCAAATATTGTTTTCAATGATTATTTCTGTCAAATGCTTTGCGAGATGATTGCTTTCAATTTAATTCGATTACAAATCAGTACAAATCTCATTTCGAATGTTTAGTTGTATCGAAGATCTGATTCAAAGTTTTCTATTTGTGTTGGTTAGAAATAAGCGCAATCTTATTTTTAGCCATTATTTGTATCAAATTCTTGGGAAAATGTATGCATTCAACTTAATTTGGTCAAAAAACTGTGCAAGTAAACTTTAGGCTTTCGACTCAAATGCCATAGCTAAATCAGAAAAAAGACATGGATGCAAGTTTAAACGCAAAGGAGAGCTAAAAGAAAAAATCATAAACAGAAAAACAATGCAAGCAAGCACAAAAATTTAATTTAAGTGTCAATGCCTGCATTAAAGAGCACGAGCATACTTTTAAAATTAATTCAACATAATCATCGTAAGCAGAACATTTATTAAAAAAGAATCATAAATTCAATTCTAATTTTAAAATTTTACATAGGTGTAAATAAGCATGAAATTAAATCTACTGGAATCTTCAGAGATTAACAACTATAACCAAAAGGGATTATTGTTAAACGATCAGATAGAAGTTAGCAAATCTTGGATTAACCACATTTGTCAGACTTGTGCAATGCGCAGGCGCACGTTCAAAACTCGGAGCACACACGTGCTTCTTCGTTGCACACGACTATGAACGAAAGCTATAAGTGTAGAAATAGAATACAGGGTAAGTCCGATGATTCCTAATAAGAAAAATTTAGCGTCTCAAACAGGCAGGGCGCTTAGCACGAGCCGCGCTCAAAGTAGGCTCACCAAAAAGCGAGCCTTGTCATGGATGGCAGACACGAAATTGCATCCCAAAAACTTTACTATGGCTCAAAGCATAAACACATGTCTTTTTGATCAAAATTTTCAACGGCTGTAAACGAAATATTGAAGCTCGTTTGAAACTCTAACAAGTAAGGAAAACATTAACGGTTGATACAAGGGTCATTTCTAAAGTGGCGCACAAAAACGGGGACGCCATGGGGGAGGTGAAATCCTATCCGAAGTCTAATTTATGCATTTATGAGTAATAACTTGGTGCTTTTTCAATACTTCCAAATGTTACTACCTAAGTGTCGAGGCTCGTTGCTCACGCAACATATCAGTACAGACCGTTTTTCTTAACACGCCATAACATTTCAAGCATTATTGACAGTGCCAACGTAAAAGAGCTGAGGACACGGGGATTCATCATAAGTAACTTTTGGCGCACAAATGCGAAGGCGCCACGTGGGATCTTTAAGTGGGCGGTGGGCAAGGTAAGGTGATGTAAGGAAATGGCTTGGTTTGGGTTTTCTTTTGGGAGGGCGGTGGGCAAGGTAAGGTATAGTAAGGTGAGGTGAGGTGTGGTGAGGTGTGGTGAGGTGAGGTGAGGTATGGTAAGGTAATGGCTAATGGTAAGGGAATAACTTAAATAAACAATATTTGAATACCTTGTGTGAACGGTTTATCTCGGTCGTAATCTTATCTAATTAGGCAGTAGTTAGGCAGTAGTTTTTGGTGTGTCGTCGTCGTGTAATCCGGACACAACACGTTGACGAATTAATATATCGAGAATTAATCGAAAAAACAATTTGAAAAGTTGAAATTTTCATGCAAATTTCGCGTCGTGTCTGGATGTAGTGTCGAGTGCTGGTGATTGTGATATCATATCGCCGCGAATTAAACATAACAACATTGTGATTCGTGCATTCAAATGGGTTTTGGTTCAAAGACGAAACAATGTTGACGCGGATTAAATTGTTTATGCTTTTTGCATGTGTCTTCATGATTCAAACGATTTATTCGAAGCAAACAATTGAATCGACTGAAGTTGCTAAAATTGCTGAATCGAGCACAATTACTAAAACAACGGAATGGGAAACATGTAAGTGGCCTCAATTTTATCTAAAATTGTTTTAAATACATGTTCAGCCACAACTGAAAACACTACAACGGATAGTGATTCAGAAGATAAATCTACTTTAAACTCTTCAAGATATTCATCAAAAGATGGTTTAAATTCAAGCCCAAGTAGTAAATATAAATAAAACTATAAATGCTTATTTATTTCATATAATTTTTCTACAGTTGAAGAAGTTGAAGATAATAACTTGTCAGAAGATGAAGAAAACAACTATAAGACTTCCTGCGACAAATGCAAACAAAACCCTGAAATTCTTGGATTAAAACATCAAATTATAATTGGCACAATTAAAATTCAATGGGATCCAATTAAAGAAACTGAATTAAATTGTCAATACAAATATACATCAAAAATGAACAAATTTAATGATGATCTTGACTTCACACGTTTTGCAAACACAACTGGTGTTGATATACCTATCAAAGATCTCTGTGGTATACACACAGTAAATATATTAGCAAGCAATATCTGCGGCAATGAAGTGAATCAAACCATTTCCATTGTTATTCCAGCCAAGTCTTTTGAAATTTCAATGGAGAAAATTAAGAGTAACAAGGCACAGATTAAAATAACTACCAATTGCCATAGCAACTTCAGTAGTTTGCAAATAAGTTGTGACTCTGGTTATAATAAAACTTTTACTAATGTACAAGACACTGATGCTAAAACACTTGCTGGATTGGAAGCTTTTACAAGCTACTCTTGCCAAGGAGAGTTGTTTAAAGACAATAATTCAGTGGGGAATACAAGTTTTACTTTTCAAACTCAACAAAGTGGTAAGTAAACTAACAGTTACTTCTTATCATTGTTACTTTGTAAATTTTATTGTTTTATGTAAGTAAAGTTAGAAATATTTCAGTTTCTAATATAACGGATTCGAGTTTTGAAATAAATTGGGAAAGTCCAAAAAATGTTCGCGGTATTCTCACAAATTATACTATAACTTTGGAAGATCGTCCTTTGTATGATTCACCAGTATTTTATCAAGATCTTTATAAAAATATCAAAATTGTTTTTCAAAATTTGCCTGGAAATTACGAGTTTAACATTACTATCAAAGCGATAACAAGTAAATTTGGTCCGTTGGAATCAATAACTAATAAAACATCTACACCATGTGAGTTTTATTAATTTACTAGTTAACCCGGCAAACGTTGTTTTGCCATATAAATTATTTTTAATTTCTAGATAAATTCTAGTATAGACAAACAGTAACTTACATATTATAAGTGTGTAAGTATGTAAAACTTGATTAACTGAACTAATCGTGCCAAATACACTTAAAATTAATAATTTTATTATCTAAAATATAAAAATGAATCGCAAAATATATTGGTAACCGCTTCACTCAACAACGCCTTGACCAATTTAGGTAATTCTTCTTTTAATATGTTTTTATAGTCTATGGGTGGTTTTTTCGGCGACAAAAATTGGAATAATTGAGCCGTTTATTTTGAAAGTGACCTAACTCCGTTTTTTAAATTTTTGCCGGTTACCATGGTTACATGTACAACTTCATGTTATTTATCAGTGACGCACTTCAGATTGCTTATATTCAGAGAAAATACGGTACATTTTTTACACATAAGTTTTCCGAATTAATTGAATAACTGAGCCGTGCAGTTTGAAAGTGGCCTAACTCCATTTATAGTTACATCAAGCTATTTACTATTGATAATGTCGGAAAGCAGCGATGAAGGTAATTTCAATTAATTAGTATTTACAAGTTCACCTTATTTTTGGGACAATTGCGTTGGTTAATTAACCTGTACGTTTAATTAATATAAAACTTAAAATTTAATATTAAATTATAGAAATTATTGCACCCATGAGGAAGAACAGAAGAAGACCACTTAGTTCATATAGTGAAGAAGAAATAGTAATTAATAATTAAAAAAAAAGCGAATAACAAAAAGAATTATAGAACAATATTCCTCGTCAGAGGATGAAGATTCAAATAACAATGCAGAAAAGAGTGATGCACCATATATCTAAAAAGTGCGAAAGATTAAACAGAATTCAGGAAAAAGATATTGCAGTCAAACCGGAAGTATTGTTCAAGAAAAAAATTTCGAAAACAAAGATTGTGGTTGTCGGAATGCGTGCACAAAAAATTATAATGAAGAAGAAAGAAAGAATATTTTTGAGAAGTTTAGGGGTTTGGCAGACTTTAACAAACAAAATGTATTACTTCACGAAGCTGTCTGTGAAACGAAGACGTTTTTTTTTCTTCAATTTGAAACATCTTAAATTATGTTGAATGGACTTGGGCATCCTCAAATTTTATAATGAATCGGGCTGTTAATTTTGAAAGTGGCCCAACTCCATTCTTGATAAGGAAACGCACGTTATTTACTTAATAATTGCCACTATTTTAACAGGAACTTTAAATTTAACATCCTTAGATACGCTTAAGCGGTATGACTCTTTAGTATCTTTTACCTATATTTTTAAATTCATTGAAGCGCAAAACTTTCAATATCTCGATTTGAAGATAAATGGAGTTAGGCCACTTTCAAAATAAGCGGCTCAATTACCGGTAAAACGGGGAAAAGCAGAGGTTTCCTTTTTTCAATCGATTAACGAAACAAATTCTGCAGCCTTCTTCGACTTATTTCTGATTTATTGTTTTATATGGTGTTTGGCGCAAAGTGTTTTCTACTGAGTTTTCTTTTGTCCAGTGACAAACGAAACAAATTCCGAAGTTTTCTTTGATTCATTTTTGTTTGATTGTTTCATTTCGTTTTTTGTGCAAATTGGTTAATTATCTACGATCACTAAGTATTGCATGTGACACAATTCGGGGTGTTTTAGTGGGTCCCACTAATATAATTTGTTCTTGAAAGGGTGGCGAAAGTTCGTGGAAGCGCCCTGTCAACGGGGCGACTGTTCTGTTCAGGGGAATTTTTTGCACCGACTATAAAATAGAGAGGAACAAAATCTGCCACATTCCAATTTTCTTTAACAGAACGAAGTCTGTTGGGTCCGCTAGTTATGAATAAAACAGTAATAATTAATAGTTAATATGAGAGTTACACTGAGATAGCAATATGATAATTGTAAACGGATGGTCGAAAACTGTGTAGGGAGTGAAAGAAGTTTTATTGTTTGCGTGAAACAGGAGACCGACTTCAGTCTCATTCCTTCGAGCGGGATGAAAAATAATTAAATTATCAAAATGGCTATAAAAATATAAGGGTTGGTGATAAAAAAGTAAATATTTAGAGTTGCATGTATTTTTTTAATGCCACATATATAAAAATAGAAACAACATTTTTGTCCAAAATTTTAAAAAAAGTAAGGGTGAACAACCCTTACCACTTAGGGGTATGAAGAATAGATAGTAGCCGATTCTCAAACCTACTGACTACGCATATAAAATTTTTTTTCGAGCGAGATGAAAAATGATTAAATTACTAAAATGGCTACTGAAAAAATAGGGGTTGGTGATAAAAAAGTAAAAATTTAGAGTTGTATGCATTTTTTAATGCCACATAAAAAAATAAAAACAAAAAAATTTTGAACAAAATTTAAAAAAAATATTTAAGGGTGAACAACCCTTATTACTTAGAGATATGAAGAATAGATAATATCCGATTCTCAGACCTATTGAATACGCATATAAAATTTTTCTTTGAGCGGCATGAAAAATGATTAAATTACTAAAATGGCTATTAAGAAATAGGGGTTGGTGATAAAAAAAAAATAAAAATTTAGGGATGTATGTATTTTTTAATGCCACAGTATAAAAAAATAAAAACAAAAGACTTTGTCCAAATATTAAAAAAAGTTAAGGGTGAACAACCCTTATCATTTAGGGGTATGAAGAATAGATAGTAGCCGATTTTCAAACCTACTGAATACGCATATAAAATTTAGTAAAAATCGGTAAAACCGTTTCGGAGGAGTATGGAAACGAACACTGTGACACGCAAATTTTATATATTACTAGTTAACCGGGCAAACGTTGTTTTGCCATATAAATTATTTCAAGTTTCTAGATAAATTTTAGTGTAGACAAAAAGTAACTTACTTATTATAAAAAATAGGGATTGGTGATAAGAAACCAAAAATTTAGGGTTGTATGTATATTTTAATGCCACATTAAAAAAATAAAAACAAAAAATTTCGACCAAAATTTAAAAACATTAAGGGTGAACAACCCTTATCACTTAGAGATATGAAGTTACCGATTCTCAGACCTACTGAATACGCATATAATAATTTTCTTTGAGCGGGATGAAAAATGATTAAATTACTAAAATGGCTATAAAGAAATAGGGGTTGGTGATAAAAAACTAAAAATTTAGGGTTGTATGTATTTTTTAATTCCACATTATAAAAAAAATAAAAACAAAAGAATTTGTCCAAAAATTTAAAAAAAAGTTAAGGGTGAACAACCCTTATCACTTAGGGGTATGAAAAATAGATGTTAGCCGATTCTCAGACCTACTGAATACGCATATAAAATTTGGTAAAAATTGGTAAAGCCGTTTCGGAGGAGTATGGAAACAAACACTGTGACACGCAAATTTTATATATATAGACTAGCTAACCCCGCAAACGTTGTTTTGCCATATAAATTATTTTTAGTTTCTAGATAAATTCTAGTGTAGACAAAAAGTAACTTACATATAATAAGTGTGTAAGTATGTAAAACTTGATTAATGAACTAATCGTGCCAAATACACTTAAAATTAATAATTTTATTATCTAAAATATTAAAATGAATCGTAAAATTTGTTGGTAACCGCTTCACTCAACAACGCCTAGACCAATTTAGCTAATTCTTCTTTTAAAATGTTCGTTAAAGTCTAAGGGTGATTTTTACGGCGACAAAAATTGGAATAATTACTGGAGAAACGGGGAAAAGTTGAAGTTTTCTTTTTTCAATCGATTAACGAAACAAATGCCGCAGCCTTCTTCGACTTATTTTTGATTTATTGTTTTATATGGTGTTTTGCGCAAAGTGTTTTCTACTGAGTTTTCTTTTGTCCACTGATAAACGAAACAAATTCCGCAGTTTTCTTCGATTCATTTGTGTGTGATTGTTTCATTTCGTTTTTTGTGCAAAGTGGTTAATTATCTACGATCACTAAGTATTGCATGTGACATAATTTGGGGTGTTTTTGGTGGGTCCCACTAATATAATTTGTTCTTAAAAGGGTGGCGAAAGTTCGTGGAAGCGCCCTGCCAACGGGGTGACTGTTCTGTTCAGGAGAATTTTTTGCACCCACTATAAAATAGGGAGGAACAAAATCTGCCACATTCCAAATTTTTTTAACAAAATGAAGTCTGTTGGGTCCGCTAGTTATGAATAAAACAGTAATAATTAATGGTTAATATGAGAGCTACACTGAGATAGCAATATGATAATTGTAAACGTTACTACTACACTTGATACATATACCATAATGATGGCCGAAAACTGTGTAGGGAGTGAGAGAAGTCTTATTGTGTGAGTGAAACAGGAGACCGACTTCAGTCTCATTCCTTCGAGCGGGATGAAAAAAAAATTAAATTACCAAAATGGCTATAAAAATATAGAGATTGGTAATAAAAGAGCAAATATTTAGAGTTGTATGTATTTTTAATGCCACATTATAAAAAAAATAGAAACAAATTTTTTTTATCCAAAATTTTAAAAAAATTAAGGGTGAACAACACTTAGGAGTATGAAGAATAGATAGTAGCCGATTCTCAGACCTACTTGATACGCATATAAAATTTTCCTTCGAGCAAGATGAAAAATGATTAAATTACTAAAATGGCTATTAAAAAAATAGGGGTTGGTGATAAAAAAAATCAAAATTTAGGGTTGTATGTATTTTTAATGCCACATAAAAAAATAAAAACAAAAAATTTCGAACAAAATTTAATAAATATTTAAGGGTGAACAACCCTTATTACTTAGAGAAATGAAGAATAGATAATATCCGATTCTCAGACCTATTGAATACGCATATAAAATTTTTCTTCGAGCGTCATGAAAAATGATTAAATTACTAAAATGGCTATAAAGAAATAGGGGTTGATGATATAAAAGTAAAAATTTAGGGATGTATGTATTTTTTAATGCCACATTATAAAAAAATAAAAACAAAAGAATTTGTCCAAAAATTTAAAAAAAGTTAAGGGTGAACAACCCTTATCACTTAGGGGTATGAAAAATAGATGTTAGCCGATTCTCAGACCTACTGAATACGCATATAAAATTTGGTAAAAATCGGTAAAGCCGTTTCGGAGGAGTATGGAAACAAACACTGTGACACGCAAATTTTATATATATAGACTAGTTAAGCCCGCAAACGTTGTTTTGCTATATAAATTATTTTTAGTTTCTAGATAAATTCTAATGTAGACAAAAAGTAACTTTCATATTATAAGTGTGTAAGTATGTAAAACTTGATTAACTGAACTAATCGTGCCAAATACACTTAAAATTAATAATTTTATTATCTAAAATATAAAAATAAATCGCAAAATGTGTTGGTAACCGCTTCACTCAACAACGCCTAGACCAATTTGGTTAATTCTTCTTTTAAAATGTTCATTAAAGTGTAAGGGTAGTTTCTACGGCGACAAAAATTGGAATAATTACCGGTAAAACGGGGAAAAGCTGAGGTTTTCTTGTTTCAATCGATTAACGAAACAAATTCCGCAGCCTTCATCGACTTATTTTTGATTTATTGTTTTATATGGTGTTTTGCGCAAAGTGTTTTCTACTGAGTTGTCTTTTGTCCACTGACAAACGAAACAAATTCCGCAGTTTTCTTTGATTCATTTTTGTTCGATTGTTTCATTTCGTTTTTTGTGCAAAGTGGTTAATTATCTACGATCTCTAAGTATTGCATGTGACACAATTGGGGTGTTTTAGTGGGTCCCACTAATATAATTTGTTCTTGAAAGGGTGGCGAAAGTTCGTGGAAGCGCCTTGTCAACGGGGTGACTGTTCTGTTCAGGAGAATTTTTTGCACCGACTATTAAATAGCGAGGAACAAAATCTGCCACATTCCAATTTTTTTAACAGAACGAAGTCTGTTGGGTCCGCTAGTTATGAATAAAACAGTAATAATTAATAGTTAATATGAGAGTTACACTGAGATAGCAATATGATAATTGTAAACGTTACTACTACACTTGATACATATACCATAATAATGGCCGAAAACTGTGTAGGAGGTGGGAGAAGTCTTATTGTGAGAGTGAAACAGGACACCGACTTCAGTCTCATTCCTTCGAGCGGGATGAAAAAAATTAAATTACCAAAATGGCTATGAAAATATAGGGGTTTGTGATAAAAAAAGTAAATATTTAGAGTTGTATGTATTTTTAATGCCACATTGTATAAAAATAGACACAAATTTTTTTGTCCAAAATTTAAAAAAAATTAAGGGTGAACAACCCTTATCACTAAGGGGTATGAAGAATAGATAGTAGTTGATTGTCCGACCTACTGACTACGCATATAAAATTTTCCTTCGAGCGAGATGAAAAATGATTAAATTACTAAAATGGCTATAAAAAAATAGGGGTTTGGTGATAAAAAAGTAAAAATTTAGAGTTGTATGTATTTTTTAATGCCACATTATAAAAAAATAAAATCAAAAGAATTTGTCCAAAAATTTAAAAAAAAGTTAAGGGTGAACAACCCTTATCACTTAGGGGTATGAAAAATAGATGTTAGCCGATTCTCAGACCTACTGAATACGCATATAAAATTTGGTAAAAATCGGTAAAGCCGTTTCGGAGGAGTATGGAAACAAACACTGTGACACGCAAATTTTATCTATATATAGACAAATTCTTTTGTTTTTATTTTTTTTATAATGTGGAATTAAAAAATACATACAACCCTAAATTTTTAGTTTTTTATCACCAACCCCTATTTCTTTATAGACATTTTAGTAATTTAATCATTTTTCATCCCGCTCAAAGAAAATTTTTATATGCGTATTCAGTAGGTCTGAGAATCGGTAACTTCATATCTCTAAGTGATAAGGGTTGTTCACCCTTAATTTTTTTTAAATTTTGGGCGAAATTTTTTGTTTTTATTTTTTTAATGTGGCATTAAAATATACATACAACCCTAAATTTTTGGTTTCTTATCACCAACCCCTATTTTTTATAATAAGTAAGTTACTTTTTGTCTACACTAAAATTTATCTAGAAACTAGAAATAATTTATATGGCAAAGCAACGTTTGCCCGGTTAACTAGTATATATATAGATAGATAGACTAGCGACCTGCCCCGGCTTCGCACGGAAGTAAAAAACCGCATCAAAATCCGTTGCGTAGTTTCAATGATTTAAGCATACAAAGAGACAGACAGAGAAAGCGACTTTCCTTCTCCAAACAAAAACATCAACCGGTCAACTTCAACCCACACGTACACACATACACACGTCTATGCTTGGAGGGGGAAGCTACGAAGCATCGCACAAAGAGCAGACGGGAATAATCGAAAACTTTGTATTTACGACATCACATTAGAAACCTCAAAAATAACAGTACTTCACCACTATTTAATGGATGTTATTATACATACAAACCTTCCTCTTGAATCACTCTATCTATTAAAAAAACGGCATCAAAATCCGTTGCGTAGTTTCAAATATTTAAGCGAACAAAGGGACCGGAAAAAAAAGCGACTTTACTTTATACTATGTAGTGATGATATATATAGATATTAGCTTATATAAACATTTAATGTCTTATTCATTTATTTTAGCTCCTGGGAAAGTGGAAAATTTAAATAAATTCATAGATGCTTCAAAAATAAATCAACCAAAAGCCCAAATAAGTTGGAGTTATCCTTGTGCAACTTACACATCCGGGGATAGAGTTGTATTCAGCATACATATTGCTGAAAATTCAAAAACAACAAAAAGAATTAATGAAACAATGAACATTGATAAACCACAACAAAATTTTACATTAGATCTGGAATTGAAGCCATCTACCAATTACACTATAATGGTTTACACAATTAATTTAGATACAAGTCAAATAAGCACAGCTAACAGTTTACAATTTGAATCACCCAAAGGAGGTATGTTATTTATTTGAATTAAAATGTTCAATTGTTTAACTAACTGAACATCATTTTATGATTACAGTGACTAGTCCGCCATTATTATTATCTTCTGAGATTGACTCTTTTAAAATTGACCTGTACTGGGAAAAACCTACATATATTTTTGGAAATTTGGTTTCTTATTACGTAAATATCACTTCCTTGGGTCCTCTGCACAAACTTGGCTGTGATGAACAAGACAATACATTACTGTTGGAAACAAATAGCACCCACATTAGTCCAACTGTCAAACCAAATCATAAATACTTTCTTGAAGTTACTACTATTACCTCTCGAATGGTTGGAAAAACACTTAAATATGAATTTGGTACAAAACCATTCCAAAGTGAACCAGTTTTGAATCTGATATGTAGTGCTACTGAAATTTCATCAAATGGCTCAGCTGGTTTGAGCATACAATTTGAACCACCTTGTGATACAAACGGTGTATTTGATTATTATAGCATCACTGTCTTTGATGAACAAGGTAGTAAAGTCTTAGAACATCAAGATAATTCCACATTTTTTGAAATATCAGACATGAAATATGAATCAACCTACAGAGTAGATGTTAATGTTGTAACTAAAGGGGATTGGAAAAGTAGAGACGAATTTTGTGATGTTAAAACAAAGTCGGATAAACCAAATCCGCCAAACTTGAACAAAAGTGAAGTCATTGCACATATCTATGATAAACAAGTAGAGGTCATGTTGAGAGATGATTATTTTGACAACAGTCATGGTGAAGTAAAGTTCTTTGCATTACTGGTTGGCTTAGCAACAAAGTGGGAGACAAAGAATAATTTAGATAGTGGTTACTGGGATGGTATCAAGTGGCCTAATGATGAGTTCTGGAATGAAGAGGGTTTGCCTTATCAAGCAACACCTGCTAAATGGCAACCACTTAAAGGAACTATTCAAAAATTCTTTTTTAAACTTGGAACTCAAAATTGTACTGGTAAAAATAATGAGTTCTGCAATGGACCGCTAAAACCCAACACCGAATATGTCTTAGCCATCCGTGGATATACCACCAATGGGTATCAAATTAGTAATAAGCTACGATTTGTCACCCAAGACTTGGAAAAGACTCAGAATGTTGTTATGATTATTAGTATAGTAGCAGGAGTATTACTAATAATAATTATATCAAGTTTAGCCTGTGTTTATTGGAAACGTAGACCTAACAAACGAATAAATCTTAAAGAAGCAAATCAAATAGTTCACAATCAGGAAAATGAGTTCATTCCACCTGGTTCAGTGAAAATTGAGGAATTAGACGAAGAATATGAAAGTCTTCAAAATATCCCATACTCCAAACCAAGTCTATACCATACCTTACCTTTCCTTCCACCGCCCTCCCAAAAGTAAATCCAAACCAAGCCATTTCCCATTTCCTTACATTACCTTACCTTGCCCACCGCCCACTTAAAAGATCCCCCGTGGCGCCTTCGCATTTGTGCGCCAAAAGTTACTTACAAAAGTTACGTATTTCTTCGTTGTGTCGCGCGCACACACACGTTGAAAGCTCAATGTTGAATTTATTACAATTCCAGTCTGCAGGGTAGTATTTTGTTGTATTTTGGTAAGCCTACTTTGACCGCGGCTCTTGCTAAGCGCCCTGCCTGTTGGAGACGCTAAATTTTTCTTATTAGGAATCATCGGACTTATCCTGTATTCTACACTTATAGTTTCGTTCATAGTCGTGTGCAACGAAGAAGCACGTTTGTGCTCCGAGTTTTGAACGTGCGCCTGCGCATTGCAAATGTGGTTAATCCTATTACTAAATTTGTATATTTATAAATAGTTTAATATTGTATGATTTATTTTTTATTTCACGGTGGAGTTTCTTCACGTAATAAAGTAAAAATAAGTAAAGAATAAAATTTCAATTACAAAAAAATACTTATTGCAACCGCCTTTAAACATTATTTACTTAAATAACTATTTGTGGAAAAAATAATCATGACACTTTGGCAAACAACTTTGAATGTGAAATAAAAACAGATTTGACTCTCTTTACACCGACATGCGGATAATGGTGGTCACCCTGGGGGAAAATCGGAGGCAAACGAAATCTAACAGATATCGCAGATATAACCTTCCGCTGAGTTCCACCAAGTGAATTCCGGATGAGCCCATAACTCACATGAGGTGCATCTGAACCACATCTAATTGTTTCTTCCAAAATCGTTGTACGTCCTGGCATAAGTCGTCAGTGCCAACATCAGATACAGAAGTTTCGTTACTTTCCTGTAGTACCCGGCGTTTTGCCTTTTCAGGACCCTTCTTCTGTGTTGACTTTTTTCACTGACCTTTACCTTTCCATCTCTATTCTTTACCCCTGTTTTCTTCATTTTCGTATTTTCTTTTTCTATCAAGTTTTCTTTTATTGGCTTTGAAGTTAAAATTGTGGCATGTTGCTCTTTTCGGCCCTACCGTTTAGCTATAACAGGTGTTTTCGCTGGCAACTTGATTAAATCATGCAAATTAGCATTAATTTTGATTGACATGACAGACACTGGTGATGAAATATCTGGTTCAGAATCAAGTGGGCCTACTTGTTCAGACATTCCAATAACGTCGTTTGATGTGCTTTGACTTCGTTTGCTCGACTCCAGTTTCCTAATAGAAACGTTATGCCTAGTCATAAACGCATGCAATCAAACCCGTCAAGCCATTCTGAAGGACTGATTAAAATTGTGCATTAAATTCAATTTTCAGCATATTCAAAAGACACTTCTTTTTGACTAGTGCAACCATAAAAAATATTAGCCATTTTCATCACCAAGTTTGGTAGTCCGGTTTCTGTCTCAGCACTAAAGATAGTGAATCGTTCTAGACGTGGTGCTGAGGTAGCAGCATTTCTTATAGAAGAACGAAACGAAATCCGTTTATGCACCACTATGTGGTGCATGTAGATGCGGCCGTCTAATTCGCCCAGCGTTTCGGGGAGTACCTACACGCCTGAAAGTGAATTTGTTTGTATCAAATCGTATCATCTTTCTCTTCCCTACACCCCACGCCCACACCAAAACGATACTCCAAACCAAGTCAATACCTTACCTTACTCTTTTATTATTGGAAGAAGTGTGGTAGCTTCGGTACCTCTCTAAGGAAGCACATTCGCGTTCCGCCCTGAATTCCTACAAAAACCCACTATTGCTTTTTAACCCGATGAACTTTATACTTTCTTTTGAAAAGCATTGTTTCGCCGAGCTCAATAGCAAAGTCTCCTTTCTCCTCGAGGAATTCTCCCAGAAGTCGTGAACTTTGTTCCCGTGAAAGTTTAATCGCGCGGCGGCTTTTCTTCGCGCATTTTAAGACGGTTTTCGCAGGCAGACCCAATATCGAAGAACAGATAATGTGGTGATGAGCGGAAGCCGCTCATCTTCGAAGCAGGTGCCTACACGTATGTTTTTACTCGAGCCGCAGATTCGACATTGCTAAACAAAACCGTCCAGCGATGTTTGTCTCACGACAAAGGTACACGCAAACCCGCACGTTGTGCAGTCGAAGGAATTGCGCAGGATCTGATGCCGCGCGAGAAATTGAATAACATGGAGCGTTGTCAACTGATTGGAAGTGCGTTGTAACTCTATGCCCGCAGTTCTTCTTCGGTGGCGACACTGTCAATGATGCTTGTCCGTGCAGAAGCTGATTGCGAAAAGTGATCGTGTGTTCAGCAAAACGGTTCGTACTGATATGTTGCGTGAGCAACGAGCCTCGACACTTAGGTAGTAACATTTGGAAGTTTTGCAAAACACAAAGTAATAACTCGCAGATGTATAAATTAGTCTTCGGATGGGAATTCACCTCTCCCGTGGCGCCTTCGCATTTGTGCGCCACTATAGAAATGCCCATTGTATCAACCGCCGATGTTTTCCTTGCTCGTTAGAGCTTGCAAATTTTGGTCAAAAAGCCAGAGTAATATTTATTGAATGCAACTTCGTGTCTCCCATCCAAGGCACGGCTCGCTTTTTGGTGAGCCTATTTTGAGCGTGGCTCGTGCTAAGCGTTCTGCTTATTTGAGACGCTAAGTTTTTCTTATTAGACATCATCGGACATGTCCCGTATTCTATTTCTACACTTATAGATTCGTTCATAGTCGTTTGCGCGCGGAGAAGCAAGTTCATGCTCCCACGTTTGAACGTTCGCCTTCGCATTCCGTAAGTTCGACAAAAGTTGTTATCCCGAATTTCTGCCGCCATGAAGTCTTCTCCTGTGAACACTTCCGGATTTAACGGAACTATTCCAGTAGCTCTAAACAAAACTTCTCCTTTACTAATAGACGCAACATTATTGAATGCTTTCCTCACCAAAGATGCTACGTCATAGGAGGTTATCTTTTCTACAACATGGCTTTTAAAAAATAAGTCATATCCTTTTTGTAGGCCATTTTGAGCGGACCAAAGAAAGAAACGTCCAAGGGTTGCATTCTATGTGGTGTGTGGTGGCAGAGATAACATATGAATGTGATTGGACTTACAATATTCGTAGACGGAAAGAAAAATGTGACTATGCTGTTTAAAATGCATCAACCATTCAAGGAAAAGATTCTCATTGAACCAACCGTTGTTATGGCATTTGTAAAACGCTCCTGCTGGACCATCCTTCTCTAGCAGAGGAGTTACCTTTTCCTAGGGAAAATAAACAAGGTGATGTTTATTCCTCCTTCCCAACTGGTTATCGATCCCACTCTCTTCTGTCCTTTGGAAGCCAGAGTTTTTCCAGGAGCTTGAACTTTTTAAATGCCTGTTTTGTCACAATTATAAGTATTCTTCGGAACAAATCTATACTTATCCATTAGCTGGCCAAGTAGATCAAAGAACTTGCTTATTTCATTTTTATTAAAAGCTGGGATTCGGTTTATGCGGGTCGCTTCTGGTTTCCTAATCTAAAGGCCATTCTGGAGGACTGATTAAAAATGTGCTTTAAATTCAATTTTTCAGCATATGCGAGAAATTGAATATGGAGCGTTGTCAACTGATTGAAAGTGCGTTGCGATGTAACTCTATGCCCGTAGCTCTTCTTCGGTGGCGACAATGTCAATGATGCTAGTCCGTGCAGAAGCCATGATTGCGAAAAGTGATCGTGTGTTCAGCAAAACGGTTCGTACTAATATGTTGCGTGAGCAACGAGCCTCGACAATTAGGTAGTAACATTTGAAAGTTTTGCAAAACACAAAGTAATAACTCGCAGATGTATAAATTAGTCTTCGGATGGGAATTCACCTCTCCCGTGGTGCCTTCGCATTTGTGCGCCACTATAGAAATGCCCATTGTATCAACCGCCGATGTTTTCCTTGCTCGTTAGAGCTTGCAAATTTTGGTCAAAAAGCCATAGTAATATTTATTGGATGCAACTTCGTGTCTCCCATCCAAGGCACGGCTCGCTTTTTGGTGAGCCAATTTTGAGCGCGGCTCGTGCTAAGCGCTCTGCCTATTTGAGACGCTAAATTTTTCTTATTAGAAATCATCGGACTTGCCCTGTATTCTATTTCTACAGTTATAGATTCGTTCATAGTCGTGTGCGCGCGGAGAAGTACGTTCATGCTCCGACGTTTGAACGTGCGCCTTCGCATTCCGTAAGTCCGACAAAAGTTGTTATCTCGAATTTCTGCCGCCATGAAGTCTTCTTCTGTGAACACTTCAGGATTTAATGGAACTATTCCAGTAGCTCTAAACCCTGATTCTCCTTTACTAATAGGCGCAACATTATTGAATGCTTTCCTCACCAAAGATACTTCGTCATGGGGGGCTATCTTTTCGGCAAGATGGCTTTTAAAAAATAAGTCATATCCTTTTTTGTAGGTCATTTTGAGCGGACCAAAGAAAGAAACGTCCAAGGGATGCATTCTGTGTGCTGTGTAGTGGCAGGGATAACATATGAATGTGATTGGACTTACAATATTCGTAGACGGAAAGAAAAATGTGACTATGCTGTTTAAAATGCATCAACCATTCAAGGAAAAGATTCTCATTAAACCAACCGTTGTTAGGGCATTTGTAAAACGCTCCTGCTGGACCCTCCTTCTCTAGCAGAGGAGTTAACCTTTTCCTAGGGAAAATAAACATCGGTGGAATGTAACCGCCTGCCGCGCTCATAGTACACAACAAGGTGATGTTTATTCCTCCCTCCCAACTGGTTATCGATCCCACTCTCTTCTGTCCTTTGGTAGCCAGAGTTTTTCCAGGAGCTTGAACTTTTTAAATGCCTGTTTTGTCACAATTATAAGTATTCTTCGGAACAAATCTATACTTATCCATTAGCTGGCCAAGTAGAACAAGCTTATTTCATTTTTATTAAAAGCTGTGATTTGGTTTATGCGGGTCGCTTCTGGTTTCCTAATCTAAAGGCCATTCTGGAGGACTGATTAAAAATGTGCTTTAAATTCAATTTTTCAGCATATCCAAAAGCCACTTTTCTTATTTGGTTAGCAGTGCAACCATAAAAAATATTAGCTATTTTCTTCATCGTCCTTCATCGTCCTAGACGTGGTGCTGAGGTAGAACCTTTTTTATCCTCTTTTGAAGGTTTGAAAGGGACGTCGTTTACGCGTTACTTGCTTTGTCCTGTTTCGTGGATGCGTGGATGACTCCCATTTCCCGCTGACTACCATTACCCTACTCTCCCCTATATTGTAAACTAAATTATACGCGAAATTATGTGTAACAACATTGTTAATCTAATGTTGTAGAAATTTGTAAGGTCTGGTAAATGTAGATATTTTGGAGATGTACCTCTTTAATGCCTAGCATATTTTTTGAGTTGCTCTGTTATATCTTTAAGAAGTCCTGAAATGTTCAACTCGGCCGTGAAGTTCAACACGGACAACACTAGTTAATTGTATACATTTACACAAAATATTTACATTTCAAATAAATTATCAAAGTTCTACGCAGATAACATAGACTTCTATAACTATTTCCCTAGACACTAAGGTGCTTTTATAGATGGGACGATACAACACCAGAATAATCACATTATACACAGACTTCTAAAGTCTTGTAAGGATACAACAGAAATACAATGCTGTACTGCTTAATAAATTACCTACAATGAAACACCTAAATTTAAGCAGATTTCCACAGTTCTACACAGCAAATGATAGAAACATGCACATGTAATCTTTACGATTTTTAATTTATATTATAAGTTTCACTTATGAAAAGTTTAGGTAACTTAGTCTCAGAAGTAATTGTTTGATTGCGAAGCGCATTTCGAAAGCTAAGCCTTCCTCTTCAAGCGAAAGAATTGTAAACTGAACTAATTTCTGTCTTCTTCCTAATTTATCCGAAATTTTAATCCCATGTTTAAGTATTCACCCCCACTACTTTGAAAACTATTTTGGTAAACTCGATTTCGAACACACGACAATTAGGTTAATCCTATTATGGTTTGTACGCGATTATGTCAAATAGCGGAAAGGTAATGGGATTATTTCTAGGCTTACATATGAATCTAATTGTCGAGAGTTTGAAATATATTTGATCAAAAACAAATTATCTAATCGAATTGGACATTCTGACTCTCTTATAGGTATGTTGTTTTTATCTTTTGAGTTACCAGCAACTGTTTAATATTGTTGAGCAACTGTTTAATATTGTTGGTGTTTTTATACGCGATTGCCAAATTTACGTTTTTCAAAACTTTGTTTAAATCTCTAATTTAATTTATATCGAAAGGAGGTAAAAATGTATTTTTGATCTAATGCTTCGTTAAACGTGTTTAAAGTCAGGTTTTCCCGTTGAAGTTTTTTAAATTTGAACCTGTTTAAAATTAGATTTACAATTATTGGATCGTAACCATTACACTTTGCTACATTTTTAATATACATGAGTTCGTTCTTGTTTGATGTATCTTATAAAATTACAAATGCAAGAAAATATTAGATACTTACATTTCCAACTAGGTAGTGTAATTCTGAAAATCGTTCAAGTTGGGCGGAAAACGTCATTTGATTTTCGGAGATGATGATCGAAGTGGAATTGATTTTTGACGAACTCGCTTAGTGTGACTCATCACTTCTACTGCCACGGTGGTTACCTGAAGTGAAATAATGTAATTAGTTTAAAGGAACTATTTGCTATGGTACTTTATGTTGCTTGAATAAGCACAAACCGATAAACGCGTAGAGTTATATACGATGGCAATTGTCTACTAATTTTCGCTTAGTTTCTAATCCAAACACTATTTTCTATTACATATATAGATATATTTAAAGTACTCGTACAGGATATTGTTTAAGTTATTTATTTCCGCATTAAACTAATTTCCACTAATGTATTTGTACTTGTAAGTGTTCGGGTCAACAATATTAATGTAACACCATTAACCGACACGCATGCCGTAGGGTCAACGCGAGCACGAACAATTAGATTTCCGGAAAGTACACGAGTAAGTATGATTTTTCATTCCAATACTAATACATTAAGACATTTACACAAATTTACCACATTTAGCACTCTTCGGTATAAATATTTATCAATTATATCCCTAGTTACTAGAAATAAAAAAATATACTCAAAAATCTAATTAAGATCCACATGCGGACATGCAATTATATTTACAGGAAAACAACAACAACATATTCTAATCCAATGTTTACTAAATATTTTGGTGCGATGGACGAGTTTGAGATTGCGGAAACAAAAAGCTTTCAAAGTTTACTTTTTCTCATAAATTTCATTGCGAATCGTTATTTTAGTCCGGAATGTGTTTTACAGTTTGGAGCAAACGACGAATTTATCCAGTTTGATAATGTAACCACTATAATAGTATCCAGTAACCGAGTATTCGATGTATCCCACTTTAGATATTACGACGTATGTAAGGAGATATTTGTCTATAAAAGTCACAATCCAAGACAAACATTTGAAAACTTTGAAAATTTCATACGAAAGGATTCAAGAAAAAAGTTTCCGAAACGAAAGTATTTATTTTACATCGATAGCAATCAAATTGGCCACTTTGACGAACTATTTGATAGCCCTGGATTAGAATTTGTGACGAATTTAATCGTAATTATAAAAGACAATCGTACAGATGACCAGTTTCATCTCTACACTCATAAATACGTCGGACAAACTGATAATAACCAAGCACTCTTGCTGGATACGTGGCATGTGGCCAACAATAGTTTCACATTTGGAAACAACTTATATCCTGACAAAATTAGTAATCAACAGGGGCGTTTGATTGTTGTTTATGCTGGCACTGTCTATCCACAAACCTACATTGGTATTATTGAATAACTTGATAAAATATTGCCAATTATTAATAATAAATTCAATAATAAATTTTAGAAATGCACATTTTAACTCAATATGCAATCAAACACAATGCGACGATTTATTTCAATCGAACAGAAAAAATTGTTGGTTCTGTTACCGGAAATTGGACGGGAACGGGAATGATGAAGGCATTTTTAGAAGATAAAGCGGATGTTGTTAGTAGTAAGTTAAAACAAAGAAAAAAACATTTGCATGCTTAGTTAATTTAATAATCAACGTATAAAGTCCTAAATTATTCACAATGTTAATTACTTGATTTTAGATGCATTATATACATATTTAGGTGGAAGATATGGAGATTTTGCAAATCAATTCTCGACATCTAAATCAACATGCTTAGTACCAAAAAGAAAGTAAGTTTTACATAAAAGTACTACATTTTAATTAATTATTTAAAAAATAGCGAGCGAGATGGATGGATGATACTTCATGTATTCGAAGTAGATGCTTTTCTACTCACAATGCTTGTTTATTTAATATTGTATTTTGTTAATAAGTACTACAAGTAAGTTACACTTATTCTCTTCTAAAGATAATTTGATTCCCACTTCTACTTTATTTTAAAGTTACGTTGCAAAACGTTTGCATTCCAAAAAATCAATGGACTACTGGGTTATAATTCGTACATTTATTGGACAACCCAATAATTACACCGAGTATAATTACTTCCAAGCAATATTATACACAATACTGTTGTGTACGATAATACTACACGTGTTTTTCAGTTCGAAACTTGCAGTACTCGTTATCAAACCCACGTAAATACTAACATTTATTATATTTTTATTATTATAAAACTGAATTATTCAATTTTAGTTATCCAAATAAAATTGAAACACTTGATCAATTAGCAAAGAGTAATTTAAAATGGTATTCGGCATCAAATGGCGTGGCAAGCGCAATAGAATTTGAAACACATGTGAGTTTAAAAGACGTTAAATATTGTCAAGTAATTTTCATTTGATTTTAGGAGCCGTATAAAACTTTATATCGCAATTTTCGAGAAATCAGTAACGATCAATTGCCCACTCTCAAAGGAAACGAATATGCTTATGTTATCGATGTATCAAGATACTGTAAGTATAAATTAAATTCATTGATTACTTTCATTTCTGAATACGTAATCCATTGTATAGTTAAAAATATTTATTTATTAAATTTCTACGTGATTTTTATTGGATTTTACAATTTTATATAAACTGTTTATGAAGATGCCCTCAGGGCGAAACATGTCAAACTCATTATATAAAATTATAAAATCCAATAAACGTTATTTCTCGTTAGGTTAATACGTTAATTCTCGAAATTGTTTCAAGATTTCTATACGGTAAATCCGTACTTTACGCTGGAGCGTCTACAAAATTTTCAAATAATGCGTGAAACATTGTCGTACCAATACATATCACTTTATTTCCGACGAAATTCGGTACTCGTTCCTTCGATAAACAAGTTTGTTTCAAGATGTCTGGCTACTGGACTCATCAAATATTGGGATTTAGAAGTAAGAATTTTTATTAGAAAAACAAATTTAATATCAAGTGAGATCATGTTAATCAATTTTAGGCAAATGTAGTTGCTGACGATGCGGCGCGACAAAATTACTTGAGTCAAACCAAAGAAGTTGATGAATTTATAGATTTAAACGTTGCACAAATTTCCGGAATACTAATCATATGGTTCATTGGATTGTGTTTATCAAGTGTTGTGTTTATAATCGAGATACTAACAAAAATCAAACTTTTAAAGATAGATTCAAAACATGGGACAAACGAGAATTTACTCCATAAATACTGATAACTTTATCCAAATTAGTACTTATTAACGTTATAGACAACTTTTTGGATAACTTTTTTGGTCAAACTAAATTAAACGAATAAATTAATCATGAAATGATCGATAAACAACAACAAAAAGTGACTAGCAATTGACAATATTCCAATTTATAAATTATTGCTGCCTTATTAATGAGATTAGTCTGTGTCTAGTTATCAACACTTCAGAATAAGTAAAGTGCAATGCAATCTAAGAAAATGTTAAGATTCTTTATAAATTTAATAATCAATCAATATTTTCACTCAAAATGCGTGCTGCAATTTTCAAACAACGATTTTCTACACTTTAACTATACTGCAAATATATTTGTCTCTAGTAATAAGTCGTTTAATGCATCAGATGTAAATTATTACGACCAATGTGGGGAATTTTTTGTATATAAAAGTCACAATCCAAGAGAAACATTTGAAAATTTTGAAAGATTTCTTCGTATGCACACATACAAACTGTATCCACATAGAAAATATATCTTCTATTTAAACGATAATGAATCTAATAAATTTAATGATATATTTGAGAGTCCTGCTTTGAAATTTGTCACGAATTTACTGGTAATCTCTGAAGGTGCCACTGATAAAAGAACAAGATTTAATCTATACACACACAAATACGTCAGCACGACGGAGACCAACAAGCCCATGTTTCTAGATACTTGGCATGCTAAAAATGAGAGTTTCACTCACGGAAATGACTTATTTCCCGATAAGTTGAAGAATCAGCATGGACGTGTGATCACTGTTAGTGCTGGAACATATTTACCACAAACAAATATAGGTAAAATAGATAACAATAATAATTAAAATAAACATAATCAGTTTTAGAAGTTAATCTTATAAAAGAATATGGCAAGAAACACAATGCCACGATATATTTTGACACAAATGAAAAACACTTAGGTATGATTTATAGTAATTGGACTGGCGTGGGAATACTAAAGACTTTTATTGAAGATCGAGCTGATATTGTTAGCTGTAAACCAGGAATTTCAAATTATATTTGCATGTTTAGAAGATTTCTTCATAATTATACTTTTAGATGCTTTATATATACATCTACGACCGATGTATGGCGATTCGGCTAGTCAGTTATCAGTTGCAAGGTCGACATGCATTGTACCCAAACCAAGGCAAGTTTATTGCGGTTATTTTTATCATTTTGCGTGAAATTCAAGAAATTTAGAAGAAAATCTACATCATACCTTATAATATATTTGTAAACTATTGTTAAAAGTCGTACTTCTAATATTTTGTTCGCACCAAACCACAATTTTTATTTCTCGTAAACACACGCACTTTTTACTTGACAATCGTACGATGAATGTGGCATGAGGCACGAGGTTTGCTTTCCTTCTGTCCATTTATGTCTGCGAAATTTTGCTCGATTTGCAGGTTCGCACTGCAACCTGGCGATAAATTTACTAAACACTAACAAAAATTTGAATTCGTAGGCACCCGGATGGATGGATGATCATCCGCGCATTTCAACCCTATGCATGGTTACTCTCTTTTCTCGTCTATATAGTTTTGTATTTTTTTACTAAACTATTCAAGTAAAATATAACTTTTAATTATATAAATCCAGAAATAAAGTTAAAACTCTTTTAGTTACATTGCCAAACGTTTGTATAATAGAAAAGGAATACAATATTTAGTTATAATTCGGACTTTATTTGGACAATCAAGTAAATCCACCGAATTAAATCATTTCAAAGTGGTATTTTCCATTATTTTGATAAGCACAATAATACTTCACATATTTTTCAACTCTAAACTGGCAGTTATTGTTATGCAACCCAAGTAAGCATCATATTTATATTTTTACTTAAAATAATTTCAAATTTACTTTAAATCTTAGGTTCACAGATAAAATTGAAACGATCGATCAACTTGCAAAAAGTGATTTAATTTGGTACTCTGAATTCTATGCACCAGCAAAAGTATTTGAATTAGAGGAAGTTGTACGTATGTTATGAATTTTATAAATACAATCAATTTATTAATTAAATGTATTTATATAGGAACCATTTAAAAGATTGTTTCAAAAATATATACAAATCGACAATGATGACTTGTATACACTAAATAACAAACAATTCGCTTATGTTGTTGATGTTTCCATGCATTGTAAGTATAAAAATCTATTTTTACTAATTAACACACATTTAACACAAATGTATATAAATTTCTAGCTTATTTTACAATGGATTCATATTTCACTTACGAGCGTTTAAAAACTTTCAATTGATGCATGAACCAATGACACTGCAATACATCTCTCCAATTTTCCGTCGAAATGCCGTACTTTTACCGTCGTTCAATAAATTGCTCGGCGAATGTCTGTCTACAGGTTTAATCAAATATTGGGAACTAGAAGTAAGTAAACAAATAACTGCGTAAATATATTTGTATAAACAGCAATCATAAACCGATTTTAGGCGGCGTATATCGCTAATGATACCCTACGACAAAGTTACTTAAGACACAGCAAAGAAGTTGAGCGATTTACGCAATTAAACGTAGCTCAAATATCAGGCATTTTGATGATGTGGTGTGGTGGATTATGTCTGGCGTCTATTGTGTTTTTATTCGAAACAATTAGTGCATGCACGAAAGCTAAAAAGTGGATTGCATGGTTGCGTGATAAATGTGTTAGGTGTGTAACACATTGAATAATTGAATAAACTTAGAAATAAACAATATTATTTTAATATAATTAAATATTACTTTTTATTGTAACTTTTACAATACTGACAATTTAGATATGTTAAATAGATGTTTCTTTCGAAATCAAATATTTTGTCAAACATGTCATTTTAAGAACTACTTTCTTTTTCCACACCTTAAAGAAAGTGACTTCCCTAGCGTAACATTCGAAATTATATATATTTATTGAAATTGCTCGGTTATTCCCAACGTTTGAAAAACATTTTTACTCATTGTAGAGCTGAAAGGTTCCTCATATTTTGACTTCTGTGCTACCAATAAATATAAATATATAAAAATTGAATATGTCATCTAAACAAAATTTAATACTGTTAGTAAATCTAATAATTAATCAATATTTTAACTCAAATTGTGTTCTGCAATTTTCGAGTGGCGATTTCCTTCACTTGAATTCCACAACAAACATGTTTGTATCAACTAACAAAACATTTAATTCATCTGATTTTAAATATACTCAATGCAAAGACATTTTTATTTATAAAACTGACAATCCGACAGAAACTTTAGAAAATTTTGAAAGATTTATTCGTATGCATATACCACACATATCATATTCCAATAGAAAATATATTTTCTACTTAAAAGAAAATGAGTCTAACAAGTTTAATGAGATATTTATGAGTCCGGCGATAAAATTTATCACCAACTTGTTAGTAATTTCCGAAGAAACTCCAATTAGTGAACGATTTAATCTGTATACCCATAAATATGTTGGGAAAACAAATAATAACGAAGCAATTTTGTTAGACACATGGAATATTAACAATTATAGTTTTACAAACGGAAATAATTTGTTTCCTGATAAGATTACTAATCAATATGGTCGTGTTATTACTGTTACTGCTGGTGACTTTTTACCACAGACGTATATAGGTAATTCGCTCTTTAATAAACAAAAAAGCCGAATATTTTAGTTTTTAAATTGTTTTATAGAAGAAAACTTGTTAATCGAATATGCAAAACATCACAATGCAACCGTATACTTTGACAGGAGTCAGAGAAAAAATCTAGGTGATATTTATAAAAACTGGACAGGGACAGGAGTGTTAAAGATGTTTGCTGAAGATAGGGCAGATGTTGCTAGCTGTGCGTCAGGAAAAAATCAATTTCATGCAATATAATATTAACATTTGATAATTTTAGCTGCTTTATACACAAGTCTCAGAGCATCTTACGGTGACTATGCAAGTACAATATCAATATCCAAACCAACATTACTCGTACCAAAACCAAAGTATACTCAATAATATGCTAAATGCTAAACAAAAAAACGTTAATTCTTAAAATTAATCTAATAAACAATTTTTAGGGAGGTTGATGAATGGATTATAATTCGTATTTTTAAAAAAGAAACATGGATAGTAACATTACTTGTCTATATGGTGCTGTTTTTAGTTACAAAATTATTTAAGTATAAAATAAATTTAATTAATAAATCAATTATCTATACATGTATTAATATTTTTAGTTACACATCCAAAATAATGCATTCTAGAAAAAGAATGCAATATTTGATTATAATTCGTACGATGCTTGGACAACCAAATAATTTCACCGAATTGAATCACTTCAAAGCTGTTTTATCTGCGATTTTGATTGCTGCGATCATAATAAACGTGTTTTTCTCCTCTAAACTTGCTGTAGTAATTATGAAACCCAGGTAATACAATTTTTTAACTAGGATATTATATTTCTAAATATTAGTTTACCATTTCAGGTACATAGATGCGATTGAAACATTTGAGCATCTAGCAAAAAGTAACTTAATATGGTATTCTGAATTCTCGAGTATAGCTGACATATATGAATATGAAGAATCTGTACGTTTTAAAATTGATGCAAATTGAAAATTTGCTAAATTTTATTCTCTTTCAGGAACCATTTAAAACAATACATCGAAATTTCCGAAAAATCAACAATGTTGACCTGCCAACACTTAATGACAAGAAGTTTGCGTACTTTATTGACGTTTCAAGACACTGTACGTATTTATATATTTTGTTACTACAAACTATTTCAATTTACGTAATTATTTTTAAGCTTTTTTTACGATCGATCCATATTTTACGCTTGAACGCCTCGGTAACTATCAGTTAATGCGAGAAGCAATGCCCATGCAATACATTGCTTCCCTATTTCGAAGGAACTCTGTACTTTTACCGACGTACAATAAATTAGTTAGTAAATGTCTTGATACAGGAATAATTAAGTTTTGGGAGGTACAGGCAAGTATAAAATAATCAATATGCATTAGTAAGTTAATTAGTTAGTGAATGAAACGATTTTTAGGCCGTATACATTGCAAATGATACACGAAAACAACATTACTTAAAACAGACCGATGATAACAATGAATTTAGGCAAATAAACATTAAGGAAATAACAGGAATAATGTCAATTTGGTTTTGTGGATTAATGCTGGCAACGATTGTGTTTGTAGGCGAGTTAGTAAAAAAGTGGTTTGCACGATTGCAAGATAAGTGTATGAAAGGAAACAACAATCAGATACTATAGTATTTTTTAAGTGTATTGAATAATAGTATATTAAGTGACAAGTGGCTAAACGAGTCTTTAATAACTTTTAGCCACGAGGTGCTTACGCTATTTTTTCTACTTCCACTTTAGATCCACGTTGCGGTTTTTATATTTCAACTTTTGTATTTTAAATCATCGAAATTTGCTCGCACACTTTTACAAACTGTAAGGTTATAAGTGCCATGACGCGCACCGGCCCATGTGACGCTTCGGTTCACATCGTGCCCCTCCGATACAAGCATACCGTCTTGTGCTGCTCCGAAGGCAAATGCGCAGGCGGCTGCTTGGCCGTCCGTATATAAAGTATCACTTTTTGTGTCTAAAAACCGTGGAAAAACTGGCGCTTTACAGGTGGAAGTAGAAAAATTTTAGAATTTATCATTACCTTAAATAAAAATATTTGAAAATAAAAAATCAATATCTGATAATGATTTATCTAATAACACCAGTTTACCAGTTTAAATCCATTTTCACCTTTCAACAAATTATAGGTGTGAAAATACTTTATGACTTTCTTACCAACGATATTTGATGATGATGATATATCCCAAGTTTCTCTATCTTTTTCTATATATTATTTGAACCCAAATAATTTAATATATGTAATGCAATTCTTAACTAACCTGAATTATAATTACAATAATTCCAAAATTGGAAAATGTAGCCAACAATCCAAATAACACATTGGAGTTCATTATATTTATTCGTGCGAAATCTGAGCGCATTCAATTTGATTGTAAATTTATGTATTTCTTTATTCAGTGATTTTACGCGGGTGTTTTTATGATGTTTCATTTTAATTTAAAATTTATACTGTTTCAATTTCGGCGAGTGATGTAAGAAAATAATAATGGACTTACCTTGTAAATGCCAATCAATAGAAGCGCGCTCAGCATAAAAATCAATATCTGATAATGATTTATCTAATAACACCAGTTTACCAGTTTAAATCCATTTTCACCTTTCAACAAATTATAGGTGTGAAAATACTTTATGACTTTCTTACCAACGATATTTGATGATGATGATATATCCCAAGTTTCTCTATCTTTTTCTATATATTATTTGAACCCAAATAATTTAATATATGTAATGCAATTTTTTAACCAACTCCCGAATTATAATTACAATAATTCAAAAATATGTCAATGATTAATTGTGGAGTGGCAAAAAGAATTATATTCTTATCACTAACAACCATGCCAAAATAATAAATAGTAATGATATCTTTGTTCAAGAAAAATTTACTATTGCTACTAACTTTGGTAATCCATCAATATTTTTAATCGAAAGGTGTTTTACACTTTTGAAATTGTAACTTTTTCAAAAAATTGATGATCCTTGATTTAACTATAAGTGAGTCGAGGTGATGTAAAATCTTCCGTCTGATAATAGTAGCTTTATTGAAATGCAGTGTTAATGTTAAGTAATTGTTATCAGCAAAAATTAAGTTTAAGTTATCATATAGATTGCAGTTAAGTTTAAATAAAATTCATGTTAAGAAATAACTCCGCATAAGGTCTCTAATTCAAAAGTCTCTATTTTATTCTCTAATTATTTCTATAGGTTTCACGATCTCAACTTCTCCCCTTTTACACTGCCGTCTCTCTCTGCCGCGTTCTCTCCTCGACTCCCCTCTGGCCTGTCTTCTCTCGTACTCCTTGAATATCCTTGTCCTTGGAGCTCTTGTGGTCCTTGCTGCGATTCTGGAGATCACAATGCTTGTCGCGATGCTCCGACTTGAAACTCTTGTGCTTGATTAGCAAGCTGAGTCCGTTCGACATGTCATTCTCATGCTGGTGGTTGTTTGACTGCGCGACAGGCTCAGACGTTGAATTATTGACGTTCATAGCGGCATGTTCGGAACACACCCCTTGGCCGATTGCGGGCCCTGCGACGTCCGAAGTACCAACGCACAAATCTTCGAGTGCAATGGGTACGCGATAACCATCTCACCACCATCCACCCACCATCTCGGTGGGGTTGTCCACACCCCCGTTGACTTCAACCCTTCCCGGATCTCTGCAACTTGGCTCTCGGGCTGCATTTTGGGAATTGCACTGGCGGGAATTTTCAGCTGACCGGTTTCGGAGTCCACAAGGACCAGGTAGGCATCGTATGGTCCGTCACGAGTTGCTTTCCCCAGCGTGTGCACTGGTACCTTCCTGGGCTTCTCAAAATGCGATAACGCATTTTGTCATAAGGCCAGAAACGGTTCCTGGGAGCTGTAGCCCACCCTAAGCACCAAACCGATTTTCACGAAAGCGACGGCTGATAGATCTAAGAGCGTTTTTCCCAGCAACAGGTCAAAAGACTGGGCAGCGTCCTTCACGACGAGTAGCTGTACCTGCTCGCACACGTCATCAATATTTACTGTGGTCTCTACCTTACCCTTGGTCTCCACCGTCTTTTGGCCAAAACCTTGCAAAGAGGTCACGTGTGGCAGCATCTTCAGTCGTTTTGTCAACCCGATGCTCTCTCTGAACGTGTACATAGTACTCCCCGGATCTACGTAGGCCATCACTGTGTGGTTTCCCCCTATGGAAGCTTCGTTCAGGTACTTACCACACTCCTCTTTTGGTAGGGCGACGTGGAACTGTGCCTGGGTTTCGGGGATCTCTTGTTTAACTGCGGCGGTAACTGGAGGCGAATAGCAATAGCGTGCGACGTGACCGTAGCATTGGCAATGGAAACATAACGGCTGTCCGTCCCTGTCTCGAGCTGGGAGTCTTGCCGCGGCGGCTGGTTGGTCTTGCATTGCCGCTGATGTTGATGTACGCCATGAGGTGCTAGTGGGAATTTCCCGGGAAGACATGGTTGTTGGCATTGGGGTAGTCCGCTCCGGCGTCGAGAGCCCCTCACCTTGCCTAATGGGCTGCCTGTGGGCCCGTCGCCGGTCAAGAGATATCTTCTCCAATCTTAAAACGTCGTGAAGTAAATCGTTGACACTCATGTATCGGTTGAGCGCTACGGCGTTGGCTGTGTCTTTAGAAAACAACCCGACCGTTATCTGTACGCATGTCTCTCCATGGTTAAGATCTAGTTTGCGGCGAGGCCTTCTCATATACGTAAGCGTCGGTCGCCTCGCCGGGGCGCTGGACTCGAGCGATCATCACCGCGTAGCGCTCCGTCAGGCTTTTATGCTCGCAAAACGCCTCCGCAAAACTCTGTAACAAACTCGCTAAACGTGTTCATCTGGGTTGCGCTCAATGCATACCAGTGTCTGGCCTCTTCTTTCAGTCGGGTGCGCGCCGTCTCCAGCATGTATGAGTCCAGGATGACGTGGAGCGTGGTGATCCTGCGCAAGGTCTCCAGCCACTTCTCCGGTTGGTCGCTTACGCCGGAGAAGGTGCGTCCATTTCGCAGTACGTCTGGCATGATGATCGTCGCAGAGACCTGTTGTGCTTGGCGCGCAAGGCCGGCGACGATTTCATTGTGACGCCGGTTCTCGGTGTATGTCCACGAAAGCAGTTCGCGCAAATTCAAACCTCCGCCGGTGGTGTCGTCGATGGTTATGTCCCGAGAATGCCCTGGGTTTTCGGTGGTGTTGCAATCATTAGAGCCGTGCGTTGGAAAAGCGAGACGATACCGAGACGAGACTGTTTCAAAAACTTCTCGGCGACATCGAGACCACAGTCCGAGTCTCGCTTTTGGTTTCGTTAAACTTTTTTTTATGAAGTTGTAATTAGAATAATAAGAAAAGGTCCAATATATAAAATCTGCTGACCATCTGTGAAAAATTTCACTGAGTAAGTGTATATAATAGATTGTGTCAAATAAAATTTATGCAATAGTGCGTGATGAATTATTAGGAATTGAGGGCGTGCGCCAGTTCAACACAAAATAAACTTGATTATTGTACCCTTGTGTACATTAACGTTTAAAATTTGAAACATTAAAATATATTTACAATTAAAAATTATGCACTCAGAAATTAATATTTTAAACTATGTATGTAATTTTGGAGCAATTAAATGATTAAACTTTTGAACACAGCAAGATCTACAATTTTTTCTTTACACTTAAAACCATTAAATGTGATACCGAAATTTTCTCGTATTATCGTCTCGGTCTCGTATCGCTTTTCGAGACGATACCGAGACATATTTGATAGTCTCGTCACTCTCGCCTCGTGTGAAGCCCTATTCTCAATTTATCCCACTTCCGATGTTAAAATAACTCTGCATATGGTCCCTAATTTAAAATCTCTAGTTTATTTCCTCAGTATACAACGTCTACGAGAGTTTTCACGATCTCAACTTCTTCCTTTTTACACTGCCGTCACTCTGCCGCGTTCTCAACTCGACTCCCCTCCTGCCTGTCTTCTCTCCGCACTCCCAGTATCCTTCTCTACTTCCGCACGCAGCTCTTACACGCGCAGCCAGCCGACTACGCCACAAGGCCACACGTAACGGATTCTTGTTTTTGGAAGGAAACTGCGCGGTAAACTCAAAGGCGCTTAAAATTTGTTTTTCCTTGTTGTTAAGTTGTTTTAACGTTGTTAAAGATTTGATTGATTGACCGCTCGCGCTACGTTTGTTCCACGAAACAATTTATATGTTTTAATGCCCTCGTTAAAGCCACTTGTTGGTTTTGATAAGCCACGCCCAGGTACCCCAAAACGGCTACCACCCGGAGGATAACGTGATAAAAGTCCAC